GGGCGGGGCCATGCACAGATCACTGTGTTCAGTCAGAGCGGGAGGGGCCATGCACAGATCACTGTGTTCAGTAGGAGGGGGAGGGGCCATGCACAGACCACTGTGTTCAGTAGGAGGGGGCGGGGCCATGCACAGATCACTTTGTTCAGTAGGAGGGGGCCATGCACGAGATGGCTGTTCGGTCTGAGTGCTTAAGGCGGGGGCCGTGCACAGATCGCTGTGTTCAGTCTAGTGGGCAGGGGCCATGCACAGATCACTGTGTTAGGTCCTGAGGGGTCATGCAGATCACTGTGTTTGAAGTCATTGGTGAGGGGGTCATGCACAGATCACTGCGTTCAGTCTGAGGGGGGTGGGCCATGCAGATCACTGTGTTTAGTCTGAGAAGGGGCCATGCAGATCGCTGTGTTTAGTCTGAGGGTCATGCACTGATCGCTGTGTTTAGTCTGAGGGGTCATGCAGTCACTGTGTTCAGTCTGAGGGTCATGCACAGATAAATGCGTTCAGTCTGAGGGGCGTCATGCACAGACGCATGCGTTCAGTCTGAAGAGGCGGGCCATGCACAGATCACTGTGTTCAGTCTGAGAGGGCGGGGCCATGCACAGATCGCTGTGTTCAGTCTGAGGGGGCAGGGCCATACACAGATCGCTGTGTTCAGTCTGAGGGGGCGGGGCCATGCACAGATCGCTGTGTTCAGTCTGAGGGGGCGGGGCCATGCACAGATCGCTGTGTTCAGTCAGAAGGGGCGGGGCCATGCACAGATCACTGTGTTCAGTCTGAGGGGGCGGGGCCATGCACAGATCACTGTGTTCAGTCTGAGGGGGCGGGGCCATGCACAGATCACTTTGTTCAGTCTGAGGGGGCGGGGCCATGCACAGATAGCTGAGGAGAGGCGCTTGCTCCCCCTAATGGGAAATCTGGCCGTGTCAGAAGTAAATGCATAGAGGGGGAGTATTCTAATTTAGGACAGTCTAGATGAGGGCACTGCTCTGCCCCATATCCAGAGGGATCCCTCTAAATCAGTGGTAGTCAACCTTTTTCTACTTACCGCCCACTAATGCATCTTTCTTGATGGAAAAATTTCCTTACCGCCCACCAGTTTTCGCGCAAGTGCAGAATTTTTTTTAGAAAGGAGGGTGTTTTAAAAAATAAATGTACGTACATTTATCTTTTTATTTCTACTTAATGCATGTTTATAATGTTTTTAGCTTTATAAAGTTTAATGAGAAAACAATAAAGTAAATTGAAATTACCTTTACTAGTGATTAATGAGATCCTTGAGGCTGATGCTGCGAGACTAAATATTTGATATCTGGTTCGATTTTCGTAAGGAACAAACGAAGGTCTCCTCTTCGGTGATATTCAGACGATTTCTCTGTTTGCGCATAATATGATTTCTCATCCGTGCATCAGCTCCCCTCCTCTCCCTTCTCAATTCCACTCCCCACCTTTTCCCCCCCCCCTTTTTTTAAACATTTTTTTTAACCTTCCTTATAGCAATGCCCAGTACGAAGGCTGAGCTAGGTAGCCCACTTACTATTATTAGCCAACAACAATTCTCTCCTTTTCCTTTTTATTTTCCTTCTTTCTTCTTTAATACAAATACTTCTTTCTTCTATTCTACAAGTACTCTGCTCACAGACAAACACACACACACTCACAGAGAAACACATACAGACAAACATACACACACTGACAAATACACTTACAGACACTCACACATACACTTACAGACACACTCACAGAGAAACACATACACAGACAAACATACACACACTCACACATACACTTACAGGCACTCACACATACACTGACAGACACACACACACATATACTTACAGACACACATATACTTACAGGCACTCACACACACACTTGCAGACACACACACATACTTACAGACACACACACACATACTTACAGACACATACACACATATACTTACAGACACACACACACACATACACTTACATACACACAAATTATTAATATTAAATATCCACCCAGACTCCCTACCTGGAGAGCTAGTGTGGATCTGTCCCTGGGGTCGAGTGGGCTTCACTTCGGGGGGCGGCAGAGTTCTAATCTGAGGCACGAGGGAGCTCTAACCTCTCTGCTTTGCTCCCACGTGGGCTGTCTACTGATGCCGGGAGCATGAATATGACGTCATATTCCGGCTCCCGCGGCATCAGAAAACATTGCGCGAGGGAGCAGAGAGGTTAGAGCTCCCTCGTCGCGTCTGATCTTACCACTGCCGCACGCCATGCTGGGGGGTCCAGAAGGTGGCCTGGCAGGAGGGAGCGATTCCCTCCTGCCAGTCACTGAAATCTTGCACCCGCATAGCTGCTCGTGCCCACCCGCCCAAAAGGAGAAATCCTCTAAAAATTGGGATTTAGCCGCTGAAATCCCTACCGCCCACCTGGAATCCTGAAACGCCCGCTAGTGGGCGGTAGGGACCAGGTTGACGACCCATGCTCTAAATGAAGAGATGGCAGACCTCATATTTACACGTTGTCTTGAGCAACGTCCGGTGATTTCCTCCCCGCTGAGCGCCGCACAGTCTATAGGTATTTATCCATGGACAGAGTTATTCCAGAATTACAAGCAGCAAATAAAACCATAAATGTTAGTTCAATAAATTAGGTTAGCACTGGTTATTATTTCATAAGAAAGAAAATAAAAACACTTTGTATCTTCTCCTTCATGAAGTTGGCAGCAACAATATAAACATATTTGAAATTTGAGGTTTAGGTAATATAACCTGACCAAAGCATGGAAACTGGGCCATAGCTAAACTAATGTCTCTTCTCATTCTCACACAGAACACTATAATTAAACTTGTGGTCATAAAATGGATTATATTATTGATAGATTAACCAGAGATTGCTATGTTGGTGCCAGCATTAATTATGGTGAGAAGCGCAGTCTTTTATTTGTATTATTCTTTTGTTTAAACCATGTGACTAAATGTTCCAAACTTACAGTGCCCACGTACCAGTTCGGTAGGTATCAGAGGCAATGTTCTAAGTAAAGCGGTAGATAAATAGATGGACACATGGATGGACAGACAGATACAAAGATAGACAGATGGAGAGACAGATAAAGAGTTCCTGGTATACAGATAAGTCAGTGTACCCCAACCCAGTCCTCATGGACCACCAACACTCCAGGTTTTATCAGTATCTCCATTGGAATGAAACAGGGAAATACATAAATCCTGGACTGTTGGTGGTCCCTGAGGACTGCGTTGGAGAACACTGAACTAAGTTACTTTTTCTAGCTCAATATATGAATTTTGTTGAATGAATATTTAATTAATGTTACGGAGTATTCAATAAGGACTGTACTGTGATACAAAATGAAATGCTCTTATTTTATAAAGGATGAATGGGGCACTCCAGGAAAGAGGAGGAGCGATGTTTAGATATGGAGATTATAGACGGTATTAATATAAAATTAGTTTAGCTGTGTGTAGAAAGCTTGGTTCTAGAAGACGCTCACGGTTCCTCAGTGTAGGTTGTTCACGTCTGCTATTCGTGGTTATTCATTTCAATACATAAATGACAATAATTAGCATTTTTGTGACAGGTGTACCCACAGTCCTTCTTAATTGTTCTGTGTTGCTTTGAAAACTCAAATATTAAATCCAATGTCTTTTTAATAGTGGTTTCATCCTGCTAATTGGCCATCAACTGGAGAAGACTCACCTTGGCAGCTACATGATATAATAACTGGGATGTACATCAGCTGGGTTTTCAGATTGGATATTTTAGACTAAAATTAAAAATTCACTTTAAATGACAGACAATTCACAGATTCTGCTTGCTTGCAATGTTCACGTGACTGTACTCACTACTGATAAAACGAGTGAGTATATATTTACAATATTTTGCCAAACTGACAAGACAGAGAATCCCCCCTTTAATAGTGTTAACCTATGGTAATAGACTGTTTGATCACACTGTCCCGTGGAGTATTCTAGCATCCAGCGAGACACGCATTCATCTGAAAGTGATGTCTCCAATCAAATGGCAGAAGGACCCAACCTGTCAACAATACATCCATTGAGATCTAAATGGCAGCTCAAATAAAAAAATACTCTGCAATTTGCTGTTCCAGCTGATTGGCCGCTAAAGGTCATCCTTATTATAAATGCCAGGAGTCTATGGAGAGCGGGTAGCATTGTGTGACCTCACTGCTGAATGACAGATGCCCAGCCGGGAATTTGAGGCTGCTGTCCCCTGTTACAGAGCCTTTAACCCCTTAAGGACACATGACATGTGTGACATGTCATGATTCCCTTTTATTCCAGAAGTTTGGTCCTTAAGGGGTTAATTAGAGGCATCGCCATCAGCCGATTAACTCATTAGAAAATGTTACATCCACAGAGTGTGATACATTATGGTGTTTGGCACCGAGTGCCAGGGCTGGGGATAGGCTAATGCCTGTGGTCATACCCTCTGTTCAGTTGGCAGCAATAATATTTGGGAAAGAATGATCCTGTTTGTGTAATATTGTTTGCACCCACTAAATATTGGGCAGGGTGTTACCTCCTTACACCATGTTGCTAAATTCCAGGCTAGAACAGAGCGTTGCCAAACAATGAATAAATACGGCTCCACGTGGGTACACAGCAGAAGCTCTGGATAGAAGGTAGATTCTAGACAGGCAGCCATTGTTTCTGGCAGATGGGATTTTCCACGTTTCAGCTTTTTCTGTTAGTAATAAAATCTCTGAATTAAGTGATGCATTTGTTTATGAATCAGCCTGAATAAGCTGGTAACGTTAAAAGATAGAAGCGTTTGCCGGGACAGTGACACTCGAAGGTGTGTAACAATTGCACCTTTTACTGATCAGATCCAGAGATGCCAAGATTTACGCTAACATAATACATTAAAAACACTTTTAACCTGATCTGTGTATTATGTCGTGATTCCAACTTCATTATTTCAGCCGACGTTAATAAAGACAGGGAGCAAGCTGTATAATTCATTTTATTATGAGGCAGAGTGACACATCCAGTTAATTAAAGATATACCCATACGGAAGGCAAATGCACGTGGTTAATGTGAATTAAACCATGACAACCTTCCTAATTAGCCTTGCTTTCAGAGAATAAATAAATATATAGGATGATACTGGAATGGCTGCTCGGACTGCGTGGGATTCGCTTTGTCTGTCCTCAAATTGCAATAAACAAACGTTTCCTCCCTAGGAAGCAGGAATGGTCTGCGTCAAAGTTACCACAAAACGAATCAATTACAAATGGATCTCTTGGGATGAACAAATAAAACTGAAATGAGTTGCAGACTGTGGGGAAATAAATCCCACGTTGTTTCTGAACAAGACTCAATTTACAGGATTATTCCCTAAATTCACCAATTTACAATCGGAGCCACATATTCTGTTTAACAAAGAGTTATCAGGCCAGTATTTAATGATTCCTTATGTTTCTGGAGGTGTATACCCTGAATTCAGAATTTTTGAAGGGGAATATAAAACAGCAAATCGTAGACAAACAGAGTTGACAAAACCAAACTGTGAAGTAGATCCTGACCAAATGAGCTTACAATCTAGTTTCCGGCCGTTATGTATGAGGGTGGTTAGTTTGAATCCTGACTGCACGTTGTTAATTGATCTCACATGTCAGATAATGTCTTGTTAACTCAGCAGCATTTTCAATATGTTAATCATTGTTTGTACAAACGTTATTTTTGGGCAAAGTAACCCTTCCTATCCTGGTCCACCTCTTTGTTTGCAGGCTGTACATCTGATGGTTACCCCTTCTAACTTTATCTTTAATGTTCCCTATAGAGGCGTAACTAGAAACCACGGGCCCCGGTGTGAAAATTACCCTGGGCCCCCCCATATGTCCCCTCCCCCCACACACATGCAGACATACAGATACACATGCAGACACACATATACAGGGACACATACATGTAGACACACACGTACATATACACACTGAGACCCATACATACAGACACACATACACAGTCACACACAAATTATTCATATTTTTAAAATTGAAAAATGTCCACCCAGCCTCCCTACCTGGAGAGCTGGTGTGGATCTGTCCTTGGTGTCCAGTGGGGCTTCAGTGAGGCGGGTGGCTGTGTTCTCCCTGCTCTGCTCCATCGTGCCGCACGGGCTGTCTACTGATCTCGGGAGCCAGAATATGACGTCATATTCCGACTCCCAACATTAGCAAACGGCGTGCGAGGGAGCAGAACAAGGAGAATACAGCTCCCTAGCCGCCTCTGTCAGGAACACAGCCGCCTGCCGGGGGGTCCATTAGGTGGCCAGTAGGCCACCTCTTGTGCCCCCCTAACACAGGAGGAACACAGGGGGGGTGGCATCCCGGTCTGACAGGAAGTGCTCTCTTAGCCCTAGTTCCCTATACTTTGTTTGCAGGCTGCACATCTGTTGGTTACCCCTACTAACTTTATCTTTAATGCCCACCTCTAAATAGCCAGAAAATCTATAAAGTAAAAATGAAATTGTTAAAACTCGCCTTGATCCAGTGCTGTGGCCAAGTTCTCCTCTTCTGCTTACATCGCTCCTTGCTTAAGAGGGATGGACACCAGGGAAGAGCGGGCTGTAGGGAGAATGTGGGCAGAATAGGGGAGGTGCTGCCATTGGCTGTCTGTCGCTGACAACAGACACCAAGCATGCTCAGAATTGACATTAGCAAGACTAAAACTCCTGTTTCCGGCTGGCTAATGACGCCCCAATGATGCTGCCGGAGGCAGAGTTACAGGCGTGGCAAAAAAGGGGTTAAACTTTGTATGTGCAGCACTTCATAGTTAAACACTGCACAAACAGGCTCCAAGCACCATAACCACTTTAAATCACTGAAGTCGTCATGGTTCTTGGAGTAACCCTTTAATCTTTTTACAGTCACTTATTTCCAAAGTAACTCTCTCTTTTGAAAATAGAGCCTCAGCATGATACCTCAAACCCTGTACTCCATTCTCCATAGTCCAAGTCTCCATATTTTGGGTATGTATAAAGGTGAATGACACATGGCGTCTCTGTGTTTATATCCAAGCTTGGGAATGTAGTACACTTACTCAAATTATACCAAGTTTTGTTGTTATCTCTTTTTTCATGTAATCATTGAATAAGAAATAGTTAATTTTTTTCCCTTTAATGGAAGACCGCTAGTCCGTCGGATTGGTGGATATGTATTTTCTCTGTGACTCTGCGGGTTGGTGCTGTGAATGAGGTGGGCGCGAATGATTGGTTTTATCCTGGTTTCTCAGCGTACGATATGATTGCTCCCTGCGGGCAGTTCAGTAGAAGAGATGATAATATTGGACATGGCTCATTCAATTAGTAGTGATGTGAGGATTGTCTGTTTAATTCCATGGTCAGAATTTTCCACACAGAATATTAACCTTTTCAATGTCAGAAGAAACCTATTGAATTGAAAAGATTTTTTTTTTTTTTGGTTATAAAAGTGGTCGTTTCCAAACATTACCTACAAAGTAACCAGCTAAGAGTGTTTGGTATCTGCATTTAAATTTGCTGTAACATTCAATAATTCTGCCTCTGCAAACACTGTGAATAAGCCCCTTGCCACCCATTAATGTTTACACTTACTGAGTATACACAAAATGCTCAGAATGGGCAGATTCTCTGACTATCCGGCTGAATGGGCAGATTCTCTGACTACCCGGCTGAATGGGCAGATTCTCTGACTATCCGGCTGAATGGGCAGATTCTCTGACTATCTGGCTGATGAATGGGCAGATTCTCTGACTACCCGGCTGAATGGGCAGATTCTCTGACTACCCGGCTGATGAATGGGCAGATTCTCTGACTATCCGGCTGAATGGGCAGATTCTCTGACTACCCGGCTGAATGGGCAGATTCTCTGACTACCCGGCTGATGAATGGGCAGATTCTCTGACTATCCGGCTGAATGGGCAGATTCTCTGACTACCCGGCTGAATGGGCAGATTCTCTGACTACCCGGCTGAATGGGCAGATTCTCTGACTATCTGACTACCCGGCTGAATGGGCAGATTCTCTGACTATCTGGCTGATGAATGGGCAGATTCTCTGACTACCCTGAATGGGCAGATTCTCTGACTACCCGGCTGATGAACTGACTATCCGGCTGAATGGGCAGATTCTCTGACTGCTGAATGGGCAGATTCTCTGACTACCCGGCTGAATGGGCAGATTCTCAGACTATCCGGCTGAATGGGCAGAGACTATTTCTCTGACTACCCGGCTGAATGGGCAGATTCTCTGACTACCCGGCTGAATGGGCAGATTCTCTGACTACTGAATGGGCAGATTCTCTGACCGGCTGAATGGGCAGATTCTCTGACTACCCGGCTGAATGGGCAGATTCTCTGACTACCCGGCTGATGAATGGGCAGATTCTCTGACTATCCGGCTGAATGGGCAGATTCTCTGACTACCCGGCTGAATGGGCAGATTCTCTGACTACCCGGCTGATGAATGGGCAGATTCTCTGACTATCCGGCTGAATGGGCAGATTCTCTGACTACCCGGCTGAATGGGCAGATTCTCTGACTACCCGGCTGAATGGGCAGATTCTCTGACTACCCGGCTGAATGGGCAGATTCTCTGAGTGATTCAGCTGATATTCAACCAATTGGAAACCATACCTGAATTGAAGAATATACCGGTCAGCCTGAGCATTAAACCCACTGACATATTGATTATATTATTACAATATCATGGGGCGGGCGATATTAGGCAGCAAGAGAACAGTCAGTTATTGAATTTCATGTGTTGGCAGCAGGAAGAATGTGCAAGTGAAAAGACCTGAGTGATTTTGACCAGGGCCAAATAGTTATGGCTAGACGACTGGGTCAGTGCATCTCCAAAACGACAAGTTTATGTGCTAGTACCTACCAGAAATGGTGCAAGGAAAAACAACCGGTATACCATTGTTAGGGTCACGGGCTGCGTATGAGACTGCGTAGCTGCAGACCGGTCAGAGTTCCTATGATGACACACCATACATACAGTAACACCACACATACAAACACAGGAATGATAATCATAAATACATACATACAGCCACACTACACATATAAACACAATGACACACCACACATATATACAGTAACACCACACATATATACACAGGAATGATAATCATAAAATACATACATACAGCCACACTACACATATAAACACAGTGACACTTCATACATACATACATACATACAATCACACCACACATATAAACACAATGTACACCATACACAGCATTCTATCACCTGTCTGAGTGTAAAAATAAAAACCGCGTTGTGTCAGTTAAAAGGATTACTCCAGATACCATGATCACTTCAGTGATGTGATGTAGTTATGGTGCCTGGGGTCTGTATGTGCAGCATTTCATTTTGAAATGCTACACACACTGGGTGTAACCCTTGTGCTGCTGGAGGTGCATTGGGGTGTCATTAGCCAGCACGGGATTAGAGTAGAGAAGCCATAGTTCAACGTTATATCCTATGGTTAGAAAACAGAAAGACAAGAGCTGAGCACATTGCAATGTCCTTCCTGATTTATAGGTAAGTCATTGTACATGCTGGGTTTCCCAGTTTAATTCAGAGTAAATTTCAGGGTTTATTTACAGAAGTCCACAATGGCCTATATGTGTCCGGTTTCATAAATATGGCAAAATTATATGTGTCCCTGTAACATGGTTGATCTGGTGACCATGAAGTATTGCTCTTGCTAATACTGCCACACTGTCCTCATTTAATCATTATTGGTGAACTACATTACGTGATTTCTCGTTTGAAGAAATCACACTATTAATAGGCATTATGTAAATACCTATTAAATGGTATCATACCGGTACGACGGTAACAGGTACCTAGATAGCCTCAATCCTCTTTCCCTGCCCACCTCGTCGCCATGATGTGTGTGACATCTGTTAGAAGTATTTTTGCGCTCCACTTGGTAATGTGTAGGTAATGTGTATAGAATATCAGTGTCACACACTTCATTGAGATGAGGCGGGAAGGGAAGAAGGAGCCAGGCTATCTTGGCGCCCGTTAAGAAACTTGGGGATGGGCATTGGAAACCCATGCTATGCCATTGGGTCAGACCATCCAATTTAAATACACATGTGATCTGCAGAGAACAAGGTTTATCACTAAAAAGCCTTTATGGTTTAAACCTGAAGCAATCGCTTTAAAACCAAGAGCAGATTTTTTGCTGATTGCTCACTTTGCTCCAAAACTGCATTTAATACATAACCCCAATGATCGTTAGCTACTGTAGGAAGGGTAACGGTATTATAGGGTTAAACGCTTTGTCATTTAGGAAACCAGGACTGATGGTGCTGTATCGTACTGTGCATACTAACTAACGCCCAGTGTCTTTTCTTTTTTCAAGGCTTTATCTCCAGAGTGGAGTCATTCCGTGGCATCCTTATAAACTGCTCACTGGAAGCCATTGTGAGTAATCACTGCACATTTGGCTTCTTTAGATGGTATGGACACACGGCATCACCAAGACAGCTACTCAGGGTCCCTCTGTCTCCTCCAACATCCGTGTACAAAGTTCCCATGTTCATCTGCTATGACATACATCCATGAGGATGAAACACGCCATTCCAGAGTCATTTCAAACTCCCAGATTAATCAGCCGTGCACAAAATACAAGGAATTGTCATTCGGCAGCATGTATCCATTAAAGAGTATAGAGGCTCATGCTGTGATTAGGGAATTCTATCCACTTCAGACTTGTCGTGCAGGTGTCACCAATTCCGTCCATAATGACACCACCAGGCTGTATCGAAGCTTGGAAAACCTGCACTGGGCTGTAATTTCAGAATCCAGTGTTTATGCTCAGTACAGGAGCGTGGGAAGTGATTTTAATCTGCATTGCAGGAGCACCAGACACATGTCAGAAGATTCTGCTGAGAAAGGGTCTCTCCATAGTCTGACAGACATCTGTAGACATTCCACCGAGAGATTAGCTGGCTTTAGAGACCTTTCGGTACCCCCCATTGCCAAAGTGCACCAGTGGCTCTTTCCTGCAGCAGAGGACAAGGTCACCCAAGGTGATACCAAAAGAGAACTGAAAGAGAAGCTTAGAATACATAGCTCCAAGCTTGTGGAACCCATTCGACCTGTTCGCCCACAGACTTTCCAATCTACCTGCTTGGCCAACGTACCTACAGAAAGCAGGAGATGCCAGCACTGCAAGTGTAGACTTCCATGCAGCACAGCATCTGCAGAGCATCATGCACATACTAACAGCACAAATACAAAGAGATGTGCAAGCACCTTATACCACAGAACCAGCCCAGAGCACATTAAACAAGAGGCCATACGAAGGCTGCAACTCCGCAGGCAAAACAGCTTCCCAAACCTTGCACTTACTCATGGAGATCAAGAGCACAGGGGCATGGCTAAATCAAAAACAACCGAATCATTCAAAGAACAGAGGCCTGAGAGTTGTAGAGATTGGGAAACACAGCCAGCAAGGGCCACCAGGGATGTTAAAGGTAGATTATATATCCCAACATTTGAAGAATTTAAGAGGATGCGTGAGAAAGAGAAGGGTTTGTTGGGCAAAACTGACGTTTCCTCACAAAATATGGAATTATCTCCACGAGAGGTCCATTGCACAGAAGGAGATAGACAGTCTTGCATACCAGTAATGGTGGAAGTCCACAGCCACAGACTGGGTAATGAAACAAGTGAGTTATCAGCAGAGAATCATCGCCAGACCCACAGTGACCTGGTGGGTTCCTCCCAAGGCAAAGTACCTTTGAATGACAGTGTTATGTGTAGCATTGCACAGCATGGCTCATTAGAAAGCAGAGCTCACTCACCCTCATACCGGTGTGCTTTCTCAGCTCCCATTTGTTCCGGTCCTGTTTCAAAGTTCCCATTGCAGACGCTTACCATGCACATTGACAAAGAGCAGCTTGTTGAGTGTGAGCCACATGTGTCTGATACCAATAGTCCTAGTGGACTGCACGGCATTGCAGAGCAGGGTCAAACTTCTGAAGCCCATTCTTCTTGCTGTCCATCTCTGCTTTTAGAAGCCACAGATTTATCCAGCTATGGATCTAAGCTGCAGAAAATGAAGGATGGGCTCATAGGTTCAGCCTTGGATCTCATTAAGAAAAGGTAACGGTATTGCTTGCTCTAAGCAGTTTGTTCTTGAGACTCTAATGATATCATATGCAGGTTTTAGCTCTGCTAGATAACAGAGTCGAGGTCAGTGGCATCACTAGGAATACCACGTTTTCTTGGATACAAATCACTTCTAGCTTAGGTTATTTACCATAGTCTGTGCTCGACAAATCCCAGACGCCAGGTCCCCGTGACTTCCCGGCACCTGGGTGTTTGTCAGCTTGTTCAGCCCCCAAGGTGACCGACTGACTGATATTGAAGGTAGGCAGCCGGCTCATGGAGGGCAGAGGTGGATGGGCCCTGACTGAAAGCAGAGGTGGCAAGGGAGCTGTGATCTGCTATTATGCCGGCAGCCGGAATATGACTGTATATGACAAAATAAGCTGTAGTGTCCCTTTAGGAATTCTATTTATGATGGTAAAAAACCTGGCTCCTAACCTTTTTAGCTGGCTGCTAGATTCCAAGCAAATTTGTCAAGCCCTAGTCTGAATTGTAGTGAAATTAAGTCTGCATGGCAAAATTCAAGCTAAAATAGCTGATCTGGAAAAATTCTCCAACCCAGGTATAGTTACTGCTTTACTATTTTAGCCTGAGTTTTGTAATTCAGACCTCTTGTCTGCAGCCCATGCAAGCTCTCCCCTTTAATCCCCGCCCAGACTTTCTGTGTCTGTCCAATCAAAGACTTCCCAATGCAGCTCAATGAGAAGTCTTTGCAAGGCAGGTGCTCTGGGCAGTTCCTGCCTCTTGAGTTTAGCTTCACTGAGCTAAACAACCAGGAAGCAACAGAACCGGGTATCTGATTGACAGTCAGGGGGGTGTAACCAGTACAATTTATAAAAGTGCCAATTTATATTCAAATCGGCACTTTTTGTAAAATGAAAAAAGAGGATACACTCTTCACATATAAGGGTCTAGAGGTGATATAGACAGAGATAAGGAGAGCGTTGGTTGTGCTGGTGTATATAATAATGCTGTATCTGGGCTACAGATTGCCCATGGCCTATGCTGTGTTGTGGCAGTATACAGGGGCCTCGCTGTTAGTGATGATGTTCGTTTCTTCCCAGCTGTATAACTGAGCCAAGCATCGAGCCTCCGGTTAGAGTATCATATGAACTCTCGAAAACAGATCCCACATCACAGGAGAACAGCTGTCAATCTCGATCTGGTGCCATGACAACATCAAGCTGTACGACAACTGACTGCAAGCCCAGTGTAAGTACAACACAGCTTGGGAGGAGGCAAAACAATAATATCAGAAGGCAGATGCCAACTCCCATCAGGTTTGACCAGTTAATGGTAAGATAGGTTTTTCAATACATAACATGCCCTACTTAGCAATTAAAGGGTTAATGTAGAAACTTTTGTGGTGTTCCTCAACATTTTGCCAAATAAATGTAATAAAATATTAAATAATGCAGAGAATTCTCAAACTGTCCACTACCCATTGATATTTTAAAAGTCCCACATGTCCATGCCACAGTAAATTAGTACCGAACTGATGGCTGTTTTGAATCCGGGATATGTGGCTTTTATACCCGGTACACATAGGAGTGACTTGTTCTGGAGAGAAGACAGTCTGGAGTTGGCTCTTGGAGGCTCTGCCGGTGCTGCCGGCGTTTGGGGTCGAGCAGGATTGCCGTGTATGCACTGCTATACTCCTTAGGACAGAAGAGCAGAAGCCATCTCCCACGTGTTGCTGATGCCTGGGGACGAGCAAGACGAAAGCGTCTGCACTGCAACCCTGCTATAGCCCGAAGGATAGTGAACGAGCAGAAAACGAAGAGATCCGATGCAGCAATCAGATCACAAAGAGACAGCTCCTCCAGCAGAAAAAAAGATGAGTACAACATAATAACATAAACAATTTAAATATGTTATATATTCTCTAATGCTGTATTAGGAGGAAAACTTAAGAAGGAGAAGATATAAAGCGAAGGGAAAAAGCAATTATTCCGTTCTGGATGTATATATTTTTTTATTTATTCATTTTTTCTCAGTTAATGTTTTGGTTTTTGAGATTTTTTCCTTTTTGGCTCAGAGAGTAGCCCTTTAGAAATATAACCCTATGGGCGATATTCTCTCATCATCTCCTATTGATATAAGTAAAAACTACTTTTACATGTAAAATGGCCACCAGAAGCCAGACGACATAAAGGGATAAGAGAGACAATAAGTTTGCCTGGGTTCTTCTCCCCTGTCGCTCAAAAAGATAAATCAATCATAGCAAACACAGAAAGGCCGGGCAAAAGATTCTGGAAGTAAGCCAAAACCCTGAAGACACGTATGTGTCCCAGACTTATTTTTAAAGATTGTATGCATTCTATGGTGGAAACACTGAAAGACAATAGTAAGTCTAGTGCTATAGACATTAAACAAAAAATTGGAAGTACATGCCTTAATCAGCTTGGACAAAAAATAGCTGAAATGGAGGAGAATAATCAATCCTTTAAAGAGCTCCAAGTAATATCTGAACGAAAAATATCGGATATAGAATTACAATTAGGTGACATGGAAGAGCGCGCAAGAGGACAGAATTTAAGATTTAGAAATATATCTGAGGAAATAAATTATGAAAGACTACAAATATTTTTGGAAGAATTTTTTTGGAAAGCTGGGAGTTAACAATAAACTTCATCCATTTTTAAACCAAGGGGTATTCCCGAAAGTACTCCTAGGGATGTAATAGTCCATTTTTTTTCATTTCAAATTAAGGTACACATTTTTAAAGAAATCAGAGCTCCAAATAACTTCTAGGCACCTTTAAGAAGTATCCAAGTACTACAGGACTATTCCTATATAAAACAATATCGCAGAAGATACACAACTTCTCAACACAAATGAACTTGTTTAAAACACACAATATTAAATTTCGTTGGAGCGCTTCGGCCATCCTAAGAGTATACTGGGACAACAGATGGAGCTCTTTCAGGACACCTAAAAAAGCTAGACAATGGATTGAACAAGGAAATTTGAGTTAGAGGAAGAAGAAAAGAAAGAGAAAATCTGTACGGAGCTCTATGAAGAGAACAAAAGGATAATAGAGAGGGATAATATGAATTATTAAAAGGACTTTTTTTTTCCAGACAAAAATTAGTACTTGAGTAAGGATTTAAACATAAATAGATAGAAATATATAGATCCTACTCCTTATTAATATATTAGCACTAATAGAGATAAAATTCAAATATAATATAGATCACAAATAATTGGGTATGTAATGGAAGGGGGTAATGAAAAAATAAGAGGAGTTAAATAGATTATTAAAATTATTAGATATAGACACAGTATAAGAAGCACGACTAATTCTTACAAATATAAAGGCAAGATATAATACAAGCACTCGGGCGGATATAGGTCATTTTTTGAAATACAAAGAGAGGAAAGATTAAGGGAAAAGTAATTATTCACATACTTATTTTTATTATTTTTTTAATGGATTAGAAAGATATAGATCTTGTCTCTAAATAAAGATAGTAAGGACAAAAAGGACTAACTAAATTTCTTAAATACTACGTATATTTTCTATTGATAATACATAGGAGCGTCTAGGAGAGTGATGAGGCGGGTGGGAGTAGGTTTTTATATCTTCCAAATGTTTCCCCAATAACTCTATTAAAGAAACTATTAAAGGTAAATGACGTAAAGGAGGGTATTCTTGTAATAGCAGGGGACTCAATCCTAGATCCAATTTAGGATAAAAAAAAATACCAGCAGGAGCCACTATTAGTAGATACATATCAAAACAAGCAAAATCTCTAACAAATACTCTTAAGAGACCTGCTTGATATATGGAGGGTGTTTCAGCCCGAGGATAAAGAGTTGACACGATTTAGGGCAATCGCATGTTAGTAGATAAGGTTAAAAGAATAGAAATCATTGATAATGCGTGGTCTGAGCATTTTGGAAATGGATTTGGATAGTGATTTCCCATCCTTTAATAGAACAACTTGGAGACTCAAGAAATCCTAAATATATAGAACATAAAATAGAAGATTTTATGTTGGATAATAATATATCAGGTACTTCTTCCGGCATATATTGGTGTGCCTTTAAGGCTGTGATGCGTGGTCATGTTATAAAGCTACAAAGTCAAATAAAGAAGCAAGTGGGGCAACCGCTATCCCACCTATACCACGATCATTGCAAATTGTCTAACGAGTATAAAGTAAATCTGTCAAAGGACACTTTGGACAAACTAATTAGGGATACAATCACAGAAGGAATAACAGCAAATCTTAAAAAATGACTACAGAGGAAATAGGGCAGATAAAATCCTTACTAAAAAATTAAACAGATAATAGAGTTCAGAAATTAATAGTTGACTCTAAAACATATAATAACCCTGTAGAAATTGGCCAGGCTTTTAATGATTATTATTCGAATCTTTATAATAATATAGAAAATGTCACATTAAGAAATTGGATAAGCCATGGTATTAAACAGGTAGATCAAATCATGCTCGGCACTAATATTAAACCGTTTCCCAGATTACAAGAGGAATTCTCTCTTCAAAATTCTGAATTATTCTCATATTAAAAATTTCATAGGTCTTTACAAGACAGAATCTACATCAGAAAATATTTCTCATAAGTTGGTAAATGGCGATATTTAAATAGACCCTTGTCAAGATCTATTGAATTCATATCCTTTTTATCTCCTGTGGATATTTCAGTGTTAACTAGATGGGAAAAAGTATTGGGCCATCAAATAGCTACAGCTGAGTGGGCGAAAGGTTTCTATTTGGTCACAAAAAACGTTTACTGCCTAAACTATGTAGAGACTCGTGTAAAGGTTATATATAAATGGTATTATACACCAGATAAGCTTCATAAAATATCTGCTACAAAGTTGAATATATGTTGGAGATACAACCAAGCTGGGCTCATATGTTCATATATGGTGGTACTGTCCAAAAATACTTGGACTTTGGAATAAATTGTTTGATTGTCTTGCACAAATTGGTGTTCCCAATATTACTAGGTCACCAGAAGTGGCCTTTTTTCATCTCGACTGGCCATATTTAACTAAAGTAGATATATTTTTCGTAATTGTTGTTTTGTATCTGTTAAAATCACGATTGCACGTAGATGGAGACAAGTAGAATCGCCGATATGGAACGAGATCAAAAAATAAATAAATCAATAATTGGTAATGGAGCAAGGTCTCACCTATCTAAACAGTTTCATTATAAAGAAAAGTGGCGATATTAGAAAGAGGACACAAGCCTTAAATAAGTGGTCGGACGGATAGATCGTGCACGTAGATGATGATTTATTCCTCTGTTAGTACAATGTTGAAGTATATCTTTTATTTATTTTTTCACTCTGCTGTTACTTTTAATATGTCTGTCTTGATTATTATAATGGGATATAGTATGGACGTCCTATATATTCTCTCTATCTAATGTAATAGATGTCAAAATATTTTCTCTAAATAAGTACACTGCTTTAGATATTTTGTATGGATAACAGATGATGGTTAATTGAGAGACAGAGTCACACATTTTATATCTGTCTGTTTGTATGTGTGTTATAAAATGAGAAAAAAAATTCTATATGGCTTTTCATTTGGCTTTTCACAAATTGCACATTTGGTTATATTTGATGTATTGAGCTCTATCATTTGACTGCTCTGCTAGATGTTAAAAAAAACAAAAGCCAAATCTCACTAATTTGTCTAAACAAAGTTTGTTAATTTAGCTATGCACCGATTCACTGGACACAGACCTGGCACCATAACTCTAAATCCTCATAATGCTGCCCTATAACAATATCACACCATATATCTCTCACCACAGCCGTGTCTCCGTTTATTGCCGTTTGTTACCGTGTGGTTACATGGTCTCCATTCGGCTGGATCTATTTCCAGGTAAATACAGAGGCTGCCAAGAGCTTGACGATCCACTCAGCTAAATGCTTTTTCAATTTGTTGTTGAGAACAAAGTGATTCACAGGCATTTGATCAGCTGAATTTAGAGAATCGAACCAAATTAAACAACTGAATTTGCTAAAAGTAAAATTGACGTTGGCAGTTATTCACTAAAGGGATAAATCAAAGTTCATTGAAAGTGAGTTTCACATTTCAGACCAAATTAACAGAATTGTGAAGTTATGTCGGGTATGTTTCCTGTTTGGCCACTTTGGCATAAAATGTAAAAAAATCACTTGGAATTCACTCAGTTCTCATATTAGTGAATAAACCCTTCTGTGCTTATAATCAGACAGTACTCGGATCAGTGGCAGCTTCCCATTCCCTCGCTTATAATCAAACAGTACTCGGATCAGTGGCAACTTCCCATTCCCTCGCTTATAATCAGACAGTACTCGGATCAGTGGCAGCTTCCCATTCCCTCACTTATAATCAAACAGTACTCAGATCAGTGGCAGCTTCCCATTCCCTCGCTTATAATCAGACAGCACCCGGATCAGTGGCAACTTCCCATTCCCTCGCTTATAATCAGACAGTACTCTGATCAGTGGCAGCTTCCCATTCCCTCACTTGTAATCAGACAGTACTCAGATCAGTGGCAGCTTCCCATTTCCTCGCCTATAATCAAACAGTACTCAGATCAGTGGCAGCTTCCCATTCCCTCGCTTATAATCAGATTAGTACCCGGATCAGTGGCAGCTTCCCATTCCCTTGCTTATAATCAGACAGTACTCGGATCAGTGGCAGCTTCCTATTCCCTCGCTTAGAATCAGATAGTACTCGGATCAGTGGCAGCTTCCTATTCCCTCGCTTAGAATCAGATAGTACTCGGATCAGTGGCAGTTTCCCATTCCCTCGCTTATAATCAGACAGTACTCGGATCAGTGGCAGCTTCCCATTCCCTTGCTTATAATCAGACAGTACTCAGATCAGTGGCAGCTTCCCATTCCCTCGCTTATAATCAGATAGTACTCGGATCAGTGGCAGTTTCCCATTCCCTCGCTTATAATCAGACAGTGCTCGGATCAGTGGAAGCTTCCCATTCCCTTGCTTATAATCAGACAGTACTCAGATCAGTAGAAGCTTCCCATTCCCTTGCTTATAATCAGACAGTACTCGGATCAGTGGCAGCTTCCCATTCCCTCACTTATAATCAGACAGTACTCAGATCAGTGGCAGCTTCCCATTCCCTCGCTTATAATCAGACAGTGCTCGGATCAGTGGCAGCTTCCCATTCCCTCGCTTATAATCAGACAGTACTCTGATCAGTGGCAGCTTCCCATTCCCTTGCTTATAATCAGACAGTACTCGGATCAGTGGCAGCTTCCTATTCCCTCGCTTAGAATCAGATAGTATTCGGATCAGTGGCAGCTTCCTATTCCCTCGCTTATAATCAGACAGTACTCGGATCAGTGGCAGCTTCCCATTCCCTCGCTTATAATCAGACAGTACTCGGATCAATGGCAGCTTCCCATTCCCTCGCTTATAATCAGACAGTACTCTGATCAGTGGCAGCTTCCCATTCCCTCGCTTATAATCAGACAGTACTCGGATCAGTGGCAACTTCCCATTCCCTCGCTTATAATCAGACAGTACTCGGATCAGTGGCAGTTTCCCATTCCCTCGCTTATAATCAGACAGTGCTCGGATCAGTGGCAGCTTCCCATTCCCTCGCTTATAATCAGACAGTACTCAGATCAGTGGCAACTTCCCATTCCCTCGCTTATAATCAGACAGTACTCAGATCAGTGGCAGCTTCCCATTCCCTCGCTTATAATCAGATAGTACTCGGGTCAGTGGCAGCTTCCCATTCCCTCGCTTATAATCAGACAGTGCTCGGATCAGTGGCAGCTTCCCATTCCCTCGCTTATAATCAGATAGTACTCGGATCAGTGGCAGTTTCCCATTCCCTCGCTTATAATCAGACAGTGCTCGGATCAGTGGCAGCTTCCCATTCCCTCGCTTATAATCAGATAGTACTCGGATCAGTGGCAGCTTCCCATTCCCTCGCTTATAATCAGACAGTGCTCGGATCAGTGGCAGCTTCCCATTCCCTTGCTTATAATCAGACAATACTCGGATCAGTGGCAGCTTCCTATTCCCTCGCTTAGAATCAGATAGTACTCGGATCAGTGGCAGCTTCCTATTCCCTCGCTTAGAATCAGATAGTACTCGGATCAGTGGCAACTTCCCATTCCCTCGCTTATAATCAGACAGTACTCGGATCAGTGGCAGCTTCCCATTCCCTCACTTATAATCAAACAGTACTCAGATCAGTGGCAGCTTCCCATTCCCTCGCTTATAATCAGACAGCACCCGGATCAGTGGCAGTTTCCCATTCCCTCGCTTATAATCAGACAGTACTCTGATCAGTGGCAGATCAGTGGAAGCTTCCCATTGCCTTGCTTATAATCAGACAGTACTCAGATCAGTGGCAGCTTCCCATTCCCTCGCTTATAATCAAACAGTACTCAGATCAGTGGCAGCTTCCCATTCCCTCGCTTATAATCAGACAGTGCTCGGATCAGTGGCAGCTTCCCATTCCCTCGCTTATAATCAGACAGTACTCTGATCAGTGGCAGCTTCCCATTCCCTTGCTTATAATCAGACAGTACTCGGATCAGTGGCAGCTTCCTATTCCCTCGCTTAGAATCAGATAGTATTCGGATCAGTGGCAGCTTCCTATTCCCTCGCTTAGAATCAGATAGTACTCGGATCAGTGGCAGTTTCCCATTCCCTCGCTTATAATCAGACAGTACTCGGATCAGTGGCAGCTTCCCATTCCCTTGCTTATAATCAGACAGTACTCAGATCAGTGGCAACTTCCCATTCCCTCGCTTATAATCAGACAGTACTCAGATCAGTGGCAGCTTCCCATTCCCTCGCTTATAATCAGATAGTACTCGGATCAGTGGCAGTTTCCCATTCCCTCGCTTATAATCAGACAGTACTTGGATCAGTGGCAGCTTCCCATTCCCTCACTTGTAATCAGACAGTACTCGGATCAGTGGCAGCTTCCCATTCCCTCGCTTATAATCAGACAGTACTCGGATCAGTGGCAGCTTCCCATTCCCTCGCTTATAATCAGACAGTACTCTGATCAGTGGCAGCTTCCCATTCCCTCGCTTATAATCAGACAGTACTCGGATCAGTGGCAACTTCCCATTCCCTCGCTTATAATCAGACAGTACTCGGATCAGTGGCAGTTTCCCATTCCCTCGCTTATAATCAGACAGTGCTCGGATCAGTGGCAGCTTCCCATTCCCTCGCTTATAATCAGACAGTACTCAGATCAGTGGCAACTTCCCATTCCCTCGCTTATAATCAGACAGTACTCAGATCAGTGGCAGCTTCCCATTCCCTCGCTTATAATCAGATAGTACTCGGGTCAGTGGCAGCTTCCCATTCCCTCGCTTATAATCAGACAGCTGATCTCGGATCAGTGGATCAGCTTCCCATTCCCTCGCTTATAATCAGATAGTACTCGGATCAGTGGCAGTTTCCCATTCCCTCGCTTATAATCAGACAGTGCTCGGATCAGTGGCAGCTTCCCATTCCCTCGCTTATAATCAGATAGTACTCGGATCAGTGGCAGCTTCCCATTCCCTCGCTTATAATCAGACAGTACTCAGATCAGTGGCAGCTTCCCATTCCCTCGCTTATAATCAGATAGTACTCGGATCAGTGGCAGTTTCCCATTCCCTCGCTTATAATCAGACAGTGCTCGGATCAGTGGAAGCTTCCCATTGCCTTGCTTATAATCAGACAGTACTCAGATCAGTGGCAGCTTCCCATTCCCTCGCTTATAATCAAACAGTACTCAGATCAGTGGCAGCTTCCCATTCCCTCGCTTATAATCAGACAGTGCTCGGATCAGTGGCAGCTTCCCATTCCCTCGCTTATAATCAGACAGTACTCTGATCAGTGGCAGCTTCCCATTCCCTTGCTTATAATCAGACAGTACTCGGATCAGTGGCAGCTTCCTATTCCCTCGCTTAGAATCAGATAGATACTCGGATCAGTGGCAGCTTCCTATTCCCTCGCTTAGAATCAGATAGTACTCGGATCAGTGGCAGTTTCCCATTCCCTCGCTTATAATCAGACAGTACTCGGATCAGTGGCAGCTTCCCATTCCCTTGCTTATAATCAGACAGTACTCAGATCAGTGGCAACTTCCCATTCCCTCGCTTATAATCAGACAGTACTCAGATCAGTGGCAGCTTCCCATTCCCTCGCTTATAATCAGATAGTACTCGGATCAGTGGCAGTTTCCCATTCCCTCGCTTATAATCAGACAGTACTTGGATCAGTGGCAGCTTCCCATTCCCTCGCTTGTAATCAGACAGTACTCGGATCAGTGGCAGCTTCCCATTCCCTCGCTTATAATCAGACAGTACTCGGATCAATGGCAGCTTCCCATTCCCTCGCTTATAATCAGACAGTACTCTGATCAGTGGCAGCTTCCCATTCCCTCGCTTATAATCAGACAGTACTCGGATCAGTGGCAACTTCCCATTCCCTCGCTTATAATCAGACAGTACTCGGATCAGTGGCAGTTTCCCATTCCCTCGCTTATAATCAGACAGTACTCGGATCAGTGGCAGCTTCCCATTCCCTTGCTTATAATCAGACAGTACTCAGATCAGTGGCAACTTCCCATTCCCTCGCTTATAATCAGACAGTACTCAGATCAGTGGCAGCTTCCCATTCCCTCGCTTATAATCAGACAGTACTCGGGTCAGTGGCAGCTTCCCATTCCCTCGCTTATAATCAGACAGTGCTCGGATCAGTGGCAGCTTCCCATTCCCTCGCTTATAATCAGATAGTACTCGGATCAGTGGCAGTTTCCCATTCCCTCGCTTATAATCAGACAGTGCTCGGATCAGTGGCAGCTTCCCATTCCCTCGCTTATAATCAGATAGTACTCGGATCAGTGGCAGCTTCCCATTCCCTCGCTTATAATCAGACAGTGCTCGGATCAGTGGCAGCTTCCCATTCCCTCGCTTATAATCAGATAGTACTCGGATCAGTGGCAGTTTTCCATTCCCTCGCTTATAATCAGATAGTACTCGGATCAGTGGAAGCTTCCCATTCCCTCGCCTATAATCAAACAGTACTCAGATCAGTGGCAACTTCCCATTCCCACAGCTCTGTTTTTATCTACTCAAGGAATAATAATTTATAAAATGAGATATAAAGTATATTTTTAGGGATCGGGAATATACAGCCATTACTTCTTTTTTTCTTTTCAACAAACTACTTGAGACTCACAAAACTGCCCACAGGCTCCTATACAAAGCACAGAGAGAGCACCCCATGCTGCCGATGGTTAACGCAACCAAAGCCGCTTTCTGATACAACCACACATGCAGATTCAAAGTCCCATTCTAATAAAAGACTCCACTGCAGCCAAGAGCCATAATGGTACATCCATTATGGTGTATCCATCCTGATACAGCCGAGTCCCAACCTGATACAGCCCAGTCCCATTCTGATACAACCGAGTCCCATCCTGACACAGCCCAGCCCAACTCTGATACAGCCCAGTCCCACTCTGACACAGCCCAGCCCAACTCTGATACAGCCCAGTCCCACACTGACACAGCCCAGCCCAGCCCAGCCCAACTCTGATACAGCCCAGCCCAACTCTGATACAGCCCAGCCCAACTCTGACACAGCCCAGCCCAGCCCAACTCTGATACAGCCCAGTCCCATTCTGATACAGCCCAGTCCCAGTCCTCACTCTGATACAGCCCAGTCCCATTGTGATACAGCCCAGTCCCACTCTGATACAGCCCAGTCCCACTCTGATACAGCCCAGTCCCACTCTGATACAGCCCAGTCCCATCCTGACACAGCCCAGTCCCACTCTGATACAGCCCAGTCCCATCCTGATACAGCCCAGTCCCATCCTGATACAGCCCAGTCCCACTCTGATACAGCCCAGTCCGATGCTGATACAGCCCAGTCCCATTCTGATACAGCCCAGTCCCACTCTGATACAGCCCAGTCCCATTCTAATACAGCCCAGTCCCACTCTGATACAGCCCAGTCCCACTCTGATACAGCCCAGTCCGATGCTGATACAGCCCAGTCCCATTCTAATACAGCCCAGTCCCACTCTGATACAGCCCAGTCCAATGCTGACATAGTGAATCTATGTAATTTTCTGCAGTAATCAATAATCTATGTGATATTATTTTGTCTAAACATTCCAAGTGCAGCTTAAAATCATTTCCGCTGTAATTGTCACTTAGTAGAGACTCAGCAACCTGTCTCTCCGGTTCACACAGACGGATTATCTGCAACAGTCTAGTCCAGGGGTAGGCAACCTTTTAGCAGCACTGTGCCGATATAGGATGGTGATGTCCCGTAGCGTGCCGGTCCTATTTTTTTAAATTGAGGTGTGTATGCTGCCGTATTCTACTTGTTATTTATACTGTAATTGCTTTGTATCGTTGTATTTGTGCGTATATGAGCTATTATATTGTATACACACAGGGCCGGCCTTAGGTGATCAGACGCCCTGTGCGAGCCCAACATATGGCGCCCCCCCCCTTCAGCAAAACCTCTGCCCCTTCTACAATAGCCCTGTTCCGCCTTCTACAAAACCCTTCCACAAACCCCAGCCCCCCTTTCTACAAAAACCCTGCCCCCCTTTTTACAAAACCCCTGCCCCCTCTACAAAACCCCTGCTCCCCCTTTAATAAAACCCCTGCCCACCCTTCTATAATTTTTTTCTCCCCCTTTAACAAAACACATGCTATCATTATATATATCAACTATACAGCAATGTTCACATAATATCACTAAAAACCTTCCCCCTCCACCAAAACCACTGCCACCCTCTACAAAAGTCCTGCACTCATTCTACATAAACCTCTGCTCCCCTTCTACAAAACCCCTGCTCCCCTTATACTAGCCCCTGCTCCCCTTCAACTAAACCCCTGCTCCCTTATACTAAACCCCTGCCCCCCTTATACTAAACCCCTGCTCCCCTTATACTAAACCCCTGCCCCCTTATACTAAGCCCCTGCTCCCCTTATACTAAACTCCTGCCCCCCTTATACTAAAGTCCTGCCCTGTTATACTAAACCCCTGCCCCCCTTATATTAAAGTCCTGCCTCCCCTTATACTAAACCCCTGCTCCCCTTATACTAAACCCCTGCCCCCTTATACTAAACTCCTGCCCCCTTATACTAAACCCCTGCCCCCTTCTACTAAACCCCTGCTCCCCTTCTACTAAACCCCTGCTCCCCTTATACTAAACTCCTGCCCCCTTTACAAACCCCCTGGTCCCCCTTCAACAAAACCCATGCCCCCTCCACAAAATCCTTTCCCCTGCCACTTCACCAGAAATGCCTGCCCCCTCTTCTACAAAACCTCTCCTCTACACCTAAACCCCTACCCCCTTTTTTACAAAACCTCTAACCCCTTCTATAAAACCTCTGCTCCTCCCTAAACCAACCCACCTTCTACAAAACCCCTTCCCCAAAATCCCAGCGAGAAAACCTCTGCTCCCCCTTCTGCAAACCCCCACACACACACACCCAAAAACAACAATCTATTTAATTTTTTTTTTTTTTTTAAAAAGCAATAGTTACAACAAGAATGAGCAGACTCACACTGAAGCTTGCTGCTCCCTGGACCCTCCTGACAGTGTCCCAGTCTGCCGACCTTGATACCAGCACTGACCTCCTCCCTCACACTCACTGTGCGGATCCTTCCGCGGATGACTGTGGAGGCGGAGCACGCTCTTCCTCCGTGCTCCTGACCTCCTCTCTCTCCTGGCCGCTGCACTCTTCATAATTTGCAAGTCAAGTGCGCAGCACAATGCACTTGACTTGCTCTGCACATGACTCGGGCCGGCATGTGAGTGACTGAGTGCGAGCTGTGTCGGCCGCCTGGCGCCCCTGTTGCCATGGCGCCCTGTGCGGCCGCACAGCTCGCACACCCCTAAGGCCGGCCCTGTATACACATGAATGTGGGCTGTGTACGAGGGCTGCTTGTGGAATTGTGTGTGGATGGATATGTCACATTGTGTGTTTGGTAGTGGGGGCTGTTTGGGGTATTGCATGTGAGAGGCTGCATGTGGGAATGTGTGCATGTATGTGGATTGTTAGTGGTGTTGCGTTTGTGGGGATTATGTATTTGTTTCTTTGTGGGCTGTTCGTATTATTTGTATGCAGGTCTGTGTATATCTAGCAGTGTGGGTGGCTTCCCTGGGTTCCAGTGGGGACCAGGCTGGCCAGGTACAGGTCAAGGACAGGAGCTGCAACAACAACTGCGAGCTTCTCTAATACTGTGTGGATTCCCATTCACAAGTGCTGGGAGGAACTGATCCTTGTGCTGCAATGCATAAATTGAGGATTTTCCTTCACCACCTTTTCGGATAAGCAGATATCTGAAGTTTCACTGAGACTCCTGATAGGCCAGAGCCTGTTTGGCTCTAGCAGCCTTGAGTGCCGTGCAAAGACACCTCGAGTGCCGTAGGTTGCCTATCCCTGGTCTAGGAAACAACATTGTTTCGTTACTTTAGACCTAAATATGGCACAACCGTCTCGTCAATTAGTTTTACAAAAACAAGATATCTTGGTATTTCTATTAGAAGAAATTCCAATCAGGTTTTTCAGTTTATTTCACGGCACATTACGAATAGTCTGAGCTAGACTGTCACAGATCTCTCTATGTCACAGATCGACACAGCTTACGTTTACACTAATATTCACACTTCATTTGGACCATAGGCGTTTATTATCTCCCTAATCGCTATGTAGCCCTGTTTCTATCTAGCTATGGATTTATATAGTGTATAAACAGAGCAAGTACTGCTTCTATCTATGGATTTATATAGTGTATAAACAGAGCGAGCCCTGCTTCTATCTATCTATGGATTTATATAGTGTATAGACAGAGCGAGCCCTGCTTCTATCTATCTATGGATTTATATAGTGTATAAACAGAGCGAGCCCTGCTTCTATCTATCTATGGATTTATATAGTGTATAAACAGAGCGAAGCCCTGCTTCTATCTATCTATGGATTTATATAGTGTATAAACAGAGCGACCCTGCTTCTATCTATCTATGGATTTATATAGTGTATAAACAGAGCAAACCCTGCTTCTATCTATCTATGGATTTATATAGTGTATAAACAGAGCGAGCCCTGCTTCTATCTATCTATGGATTTATATAGTGTATAAACAGAGCGAGCCCTGCTTCTATCTATCTATGGATTTATATAATGTATAAACAGAGCGAGCCCTGCTTCTATCTATCTATGGATTTATATAGTGTATAAACAGAGCGAGCCCTGCTTCTATCTATCTATGGATTTATATAGTGTATAAACAGAGCGAGCCCTGCTTCTATCTATCTATGGATTTATATAGTGTATAAACAGAGCGAGCCCTGCTTCTATCTATCTATGGATTTATATAGTGTATAAACAGAGCGAGCCCTGTTTCTATCTATCTATCTATGGATTTATATAGTGTATAAACAGAGCGAGTCCTGCTTCTATCTATCTATGGATTTATATAGTGTATAAACAGAGCGAGTCCTGCTTCCATCTATCTATGGATTTATATAGTGTATAAACAGAGCGAGTCCTGCTTCTATCTATCTATGGATTTATATAGTGTATAAACAGAGCGAGTCCTGCTTCTATCTATCTATGGATTTATATAGTGTATAAACAGAGCGAGCCCTGCTTCTATCTATCTAGAGTGTATGAGCCCTGCTTCTATCTATGGATTTATATAGTGTATAAACAGAGAGCGAGCCCTGCTTCTATCTATCTATGGATTTATATAGTGTATAAACAGAGCGAGCCCTGCTTCTATCTATCTATGGATTTATATAGTGTATAAACAGAGCGAGCCCTGCTTCCATCTATCTATGGATTTATATAGTGTATAAACAGAGCGAGCCCTGCTTCTATCTATCTATGGATTTATATAGTGTATAAACAGAGCGAGCCCTGCTTCTATCTATCTATGGATTTATATAGTGTATAAACAGAGCGAGCCCTGCTTCTATCTATCTATGGATTTATATAGTGTATAAACAGAGCGAGCCCTGCTTCTATCTATCTATGGATTTATATAGTGTATAAACAGAGCGAGCCCTGCTTCTATCTATCTATGGATTTATATAGTGTATAAACAGAGCGAGCCCTGCTTCTATCTATCTATGGATTTATATAGTGTATAAACAGAGCGAGCCCTGCTTCTATCTATCTATGGATTTATATAGTGTATAAACAGAGCGAGCCCTGCTTCTATCTATAGCTTTATATATAGTGTATAAACAGAGCGAGCCCTGCTTCTATCTATGGATTTATATAGTGTATAAACAGAGCGAGCCCTGCTTCTATCTATCTATGGATTTATATAGTGTATAAACAGAGCGAGTCCTGCTTCTATCTATCTATGGATTTATATAGTGTATAAACAGAGCGAGTCCTGCTTCTATCTAGCTATGGATTTATATAGTGTATAAACAAAGCGAGCCCTGCTTCTATCTATCTATGGATTTATATAGTGTATAAACAGAGCGAGCCCTGCTTCTATCTATGGATTTATATAGTGTATAAACAGAGCAAGTCCTGCTTCTATCTATGGATTTATATAGTGTATAAACAGAGCAAGCCCTGCTTCTATCTATGGATTTATATAGTGTATAAACAGAGCGAGTCCTGCTTCTATCTATCTATGGATTTATATAGTGTATAAACAGAGCGAGCCCTGCTTCTATCTATCTATGGATTTATATAGTGTATAAACAGAGCGAGCCCTGCTTCTATCTATCTATGGATTTATATAGTGTATAAACAGAGCGAGCCCTGCTTCTATCTATCTATGGCTTTATATAGTGTATAAACAGAGCGAGCCCTGCTTCTATCTATCTATGGATTTATATAGTGTATAAACAGAGCGAGCCCTGCTTCTATCCATCTATGGATTTATATAGTGTATAAACAGAGCAAGCCCTGCTTCTATCTATCTATGGATTTATATAGTGTATAAACAGAGCGAGCCCTGCTTCTATCTATCTATGGATTTATATAGTGTATAAACAGAGCGAGCCCTGCTTCTATCTATCTATGGATTTATATATTAGACAGCAGCAGCCCTGTATATCAGTTTGTCCTTCCTGACTGACTGTTTCATCTTTTCAAACACTAAACATGTTAAATTCTCTGACATTTGCCTATTGTGTTTATTTATTTAACTAGAATCATAGAATTTTCAGAGAACTCCCCCCAGAGACAGAACGTTTAAAGAGAAAGCTGCTTATTAAAATAATGAGATGAATTTTGTCGTTTTGACGGATGCTGTGCAGCAATATGCTGTTTGGCCTCCATCATCGCGCTGCAGTGAGTCACCCACCTACACATTGCAAGCTGTAAAGTGACCTCAGTGGGTGGGAGTTTCCATTAGTCAGAGCATTGCTACTGATAGGATGACGCTTTCATTAAAGGACCACTATAGGCACCTAGACCACTTCAGCTTAATGAAGTGGTCTGGGTGGCAGGTCCAGCTAGGTTTAACCCTTTTTTCTATAAACATAGCAGTTTCAGAGAAACTGCTATGTTTATAATAGGGTTAATCCAGCCTCTAGTGGCTGTCTCATTGACAGCCGCTAGAGGCGCTGATTTTCACAGTGAGAAGACCCCAGCATCCATAGGAAAGCATTGTGAATGCTTTCCTATGGACTGGCTGAATGAGCGCATGGCTCTTGTCGCACAAGCGCGTTCAGGCGAGGAGGAGGAGAGTTCCCTACCTGGCGCTGGAGAAAAAGGTACATTTAACCCCTTCCACCCCCTAGAGCCCGGCGGGAGGGGGCCGTGAGGGTGGGGGCACCCTCAGGGCACTATAATGCCAGGAAAACGAGTATGTTTTCCTGGCACTATAGTGGTCCTTTAAAGGAAAACTGGGACCGCTTCTTGGGCCCGATTCTATTTAACATATTTATAAGCGATCTTGAAATATGCATTGAAAGCCATGTTTCAGTGTTTGCAGATGCCACAAAACTCTGTAAAGTAATAAAATGTGAGCAGGATATTGCTTTGCTCCAGAGGGATTTGAATAGATTGGGGGACTGGGCACTAAAATGGCAGATGAAATTTAACGTAGAGAAATGCAAAGTTCGGGGTCAAGAATGCACAAGCAATTTACACCCTAAATGGTAGTGAATTAGGGATAACCACACACGAGAAGCATTTGGGAATTGTTATAGACAACAAATTAGGCAGCAATATGCAATGTCAATCTGCAGTTGCTAAGGCCAGTAAGGTTTTGTCATGTATAAACAGGGGATAAATTCTCGGGATGAAAATTTTATTTTGCCTCTTTATAAATCACTGGTAAAACCACACCTTGAAAATGCTGTGCAATTTAGGACACCTGTTCTGAAGAAGGATATCATTAGAAAAAGTGCAGAGACGAGCTACAAAATTAATAAAAGGAATGGAGCACTTTAGTTCCGAAGAAAGGTTGAAAATGTAAATCTCTTTAGTTTGGAAAAACGGCGCCTCAGAGGGGATATGATAACATTATACAAATATATTCGGGGCCACTACAAGACATTATCTGTAAATCTATTCATAAACAGGGCTATACATAGGACAAGAGGTCACACATTTAGGCTGGAAGAAAGGAGATTTCATCTAAGGCAAAGAAAAGTTTTTTTACAGTAAGAGCAATACGGATATGGAATTCTCTGCCTGAAGAGGTGGTTTTATCAGAGTCCATACGGATGTTTAAACTGCAATTGGATACATACTTACAAAAACATAACATACATGGATATAATTTCTAATTAATGGGGTATTAGCTGCTTGATCCAAGGAGACATAGGACTGCTATTTTGGGGTCAAGAAGGATTTTTTTCCTAGTTTGTGGCAAAATTGGAAGCGCTTTAGACTAGGTTTTTTGCCTTCTTTTGGATCAACAACAAAAACATATGTAAGGAAGGCTGCACTTGATGCAAGTCTCTTTTCAGCTATCTACGTAATTATGTAACTGTGTAATGTTAGAAATGCAAAGATGTACTCCTAATATCCTGGCCAACCCCCTGGCCATGAAAGATTTAAAAAAAACTTTGTCACTCTCCTTACGCCAGTGCCAATGTCCTTCGGCGTTGGGTCGCACTGCTCCTCCGTAAGGCTATGGGGGTATGTAATGTGCTTGTGAGGTGAGCACCACACATGCAATAAGCCCTCTCCAATAACAAAGCACTGAATCAATGCTTTTCTATGTGGTTTTATAAGACATGGGGATTTTAACAAAGTTAAACTTTGCGAAAGGCTAGGAAGTACCTCTAGTGGCTATCTGTTAACATTGCAGTTTCTCTAAAACAGTTTTACATTGCAGGGTTAGGAGGGACAGGAGCACTGCACCCAGGCCACTTCAATGAGATGACGTGGTCTGGGTGCCTATATTGTGTCCCTTTAACATAGCATTTAGCATAAGGAAATAAAGTCCTGCCTATCCTCGACTTCAGTGCTATTTATCACTCTGCAGCGACACTAAATATCTGCCAGTGCTCCAGTCTGGTCCCCAGAATTTTAGACACTCCATAGTTACAAATAGCTGGAACTGAGAAGGGAGGGTGCAGCCAACAGTGCTCTGTATTGTTACATGATGTAAGAGCTCACAAAATACCTCCATTCAGATATTTCTTTACATCCTGCTTCCATTTCTAGGAATCTCCATTCCCAGGTTCCTTACAAATAAACATAAGCTGGGTAGTTGCTCATTAATTTATGTTTCTGGTTATACTTACTGTATAAACCATAAATGTTAATATTTCAGGTAGTGACTGGTGTATGCAGTAAGTTTGTTCCCATACCTTTCTGCTAGCTGTGCATCCCATATTTCAAACAAACGTCATGCTAATTTTTTTATTTCATTTTTAGGAACCTGGTAGTGTAGGGGTTAGTAACTGAGAGTTCACGGCTATTTTTTTTGTACAGCTCTGCAGCCCAGGATGTCGGAGATCCAGCTCAGATATGAGTCACGAAGCCGGGGAGACTGGAAAGACTCCACGTGGGTGTCGCTTGCGGCCTCATTTCAGTGACCCCATGCCCACGGACGCAGTGAAGAGAAAGCAGCTGGAACTAAAAATCGCCGCCGCTGCCCGGCACCACGCTCAGCGGAGGAGGCAGGACAGAGAAAACGGTACCAACTGCCATTATTTCGCTCACTGAGATAGGATCAGTACAGCTTTCTAACTGAAACGGTTATATTAAAGCATTAAATAAAGTCTTGTATAAAAGCCATTGACAAGAACAAATTGTAGATAGAGTAATACAACGCACAGACAGGACTCTCAGGTTTTAACAACTAAACCACTTAAAAACTCTGCTCCCCTCCCACCATCCCCCCAAACCAGCGCTTGTAGTGGAGTATATTATTATAATAAGTATATAATAGGTAGTTATAACTACCCACATATCCTGAACCAGCCAATCCATAAATCAAATCAATAAATCAAACAACTCTCAACCCAGAAAGAAGGTGTTAAACAGACCCTACCTGACGTTTTTCCAGCCTACATGTACACTACATGCACCTGTGTATACTAGTCGTATTATGGGCCGACACTAGGGCTTTAACCTAGGCCTATTATTGTCATTCGTGACCTCAGATCATACCCTGAAAAAAAAAAAAAAAAAGTGCACGTGACAAAAATAAATGCTATATGCTAAAAATACATATAAAGTGCAGTGTGAAATGTTAAATATATTAAAATAATCCAGGAGTACTCCTCACGGCCTACGAACAGCTAAAAAATAATACGGCAGAAAGGATCTAGAGCAGGGGTGGGAACCTTCAGCCCTCCAGATATTTTGGACTTCATCTCCCTTGATGCTTTGCCAGCATTATGGCTGTAAGCATTATGGGAAATGTAGTCCAAAACATCAGGAGGGCCAAAAGTTCCCCACCCCTGATCTAGTGCCTTGAGAGTCTTCCCTGAATATTAACAACGCATTCTCAGAGAAACTCTGCCTCTGCGAGTCCAAGATAGCCGCCAGAAATAAATGTGATCGGCTGAGATGTCTACCACAGCCCCAGCCATTTCCTGTGGATGTTTTTTCATAGTTTATCCTGAGTCAAGTGAAATAAATTCCCCTGTACATCATCTAGCCATCTGGAGAGAACAATAAGTGGTTAAGATTAAGGGCCCTATCAGGGATTTCATTTATTAAATTATCCACCTTGTCAGGTGGGAAATGGATTGACCAAGCTAATCTCATGATGTAAATAGGAGTCCATGTCAGAAAAAGTTAGGAACCCCATTCTAAGAGAAGACAATGCAATAAACTGAGGGATTATAGATACATGAATTATTATTTACATAGTGTGATTTTTTCAAGTAAATCCTCTTTGTTTGCCCAGGGCCGGTGCTGTTGAAGGCCAACACGACCACTTCTTGCAGCTCAGGGACTAACGCCCCTTATACCACCGGACACTGTAACCAGTCTCGGCATCGCTGGAGCAACATTAGCAGCCTGAGCACCGACAGCGGGATAGTTGGTGTCAACGATGATAGAGATGACTGTGAGGGTAACAGAAGCAGGGCTGCCAAACCAGGGGAGGTAGAAAGAGTGGACAGTGGCATTGGGGATGCAATGTCTAGGAAGTGGAGAGCAAGGGTGGCAGAAGCTGCAGCTTCCTTGGAGGCATGGAAGGCTCATCGGCCTTGTACTGATTGTGGGGAAAGAGATTCAGCCATGGATATAGAAGTTCGAGGGAAGAGACAGGACACTTTGTGTATAAAATGTGTAATGCGCAGGACTGAGCGCAAGGAGGCAGTTATGGAGTTTGTAAACACAGAGTCCAGCTACGGGGACGATATAAGGATTATAAAGGAGGAATTTTACATCCCCATGCAGACAGCAGGACTTCTAACTCCTGAACAGCTGCTGGTTGTCTTCAGCAACATCCAGGAGCTCATTGACCTCAACGGGAAGTTTCTGGAGGTCCTACAAGAGGAAATCGACCAAGCGTTCGACCAGGTAAATAAGGAATCCTTCATGGCTGGCACTAGGGAATTCTGAATCTGGGTGTGAAATCCCATGTGCTCTAGTTTATTAAAGGACACCTATAGGCACCCAGACCACTTCAGCTTAATGAAGTGGTCTGGGTGCCAGGTCCAGCTAGGATTAACCCTTTCTTCTATAAATATAGCAGTTTCAGAGAAATTGCTATGTTTATCTATGGGTTAATCCAGCCTCTAGTGGCTGTCTCATTGACAGCCGCTAGAGGCGCTTCCGCGCTTCTCACTGTGATTTTCAGTGAGAAGACGCCAGTGTCCATAGGAAAGCATTGAGAATGCTTTCCTATGGACTGGGTGAATGCGCGGGTGGCTCCGGCCGCGCATGCGCATCCAGCCGATGACGTCGCTATGGAGGAGGAGAGTCCCCCGCCCGGCGCTGGAGAATGAGGTAAGTTTAACCCCTTCCTCCCCCTAGAGCCCGGCAGGAGGGGGTCCCTGAGGGTGGGGGCACCCTCAAGGCACTAGAGTGCCAGGAAAACGAATATGTTTTCCTGGCACTATAGTGGTCCTTTAAAGACAAATGTTAGTTTGACATTAACATGCAGAAAACTCTAACGTAAACAGAATAGAAAGTTCAGAAAAACTGCTCCCAGTCCATAGTGATGCTCATTTGTATTCACTTAACTAATACCCACTGCCTATTTATGCTCATTTTGTCGCTTTCTCTCATTTTGGCGAATTCAAACTGAATTTTAAATTTCAGGTCAAAGTAGCAGAAAAATAAAATAATAATATTTGAAATGAACTTTAAATTCACCTTAGTAAATAACCCTGTTAACTTTATTAAAAGTGTCAAACCCAGGCCAGTATATGTCAGGATGGAAGCCGTGTGAAACCCAGGCCGGTATATGTCAGGATGGAAGCTGTGTGAAACCCAGGCCGGTATATGTCAGCATGGAAGCTGTGTGAAACCCTGGCCAGTATAAGTCAGGATGGAAGCTGTGTGAAACCCAGGCCTGTATATGTCAGGATGGAAGCGGTGTGAAACCCCGGCTGGTATATATCAGGATGGGAGCGGTGTGAAACCCAGGCCAGTATATGGCAGCATGGAAGCTGTGTGAAACCCAGGCCGGTATACGTCAGGATGGAAGCTATGTGAAACCCAGGCTTCTATATGTCAGGATGGGAGCGGTGTGAAACCAAGGCCAGTATATGTCAGGATGGAAGCGGTGTGAAACCCAGGCCAGTATATGTCAGTATATGTCAGCATGGAAGCTGTGTGAAACCCAGGCCAGTATATGTCCAGGCCAGTATATGTCAGCAGCATGTGAAACCCAGGCCAGTATAGGTCAGCTATGTGAAACCCAGGCCAGTATATGTCAGGATGGAAGCTGTGTGAAACCCAGGCCAGTATATGTCAGGATGGAAGCTGTGTGAAACCCTGGCCAGTATATGTCAGCATGGAAGCTATGTGAAACCCAGGCCAGTATAGGTCAGCATGGAAGCTGTGTGAAACCCAGGCCAGTATATGTCAGGATGGAAGCTGTGTGAAACCCTTGCCAGTATATGTCAGGATGGGAGCTGGGATGTCTGTACAGATGCTGCCATAGGAATCAGAAGTTGTTTCCTCGGTGGGAGATAATACAGGGGATTAAGACTGCAACAAAGGGAAATAAATAGCTTATATGGAAATATAGAATTAACTTCCCAACTCTAATTTCTATTTAAAGCTGAATTTTTCATTTTCTAGTAATCCGATGTTAAAGGGCCAGCATCAGAGAGTTAGGTGTATTTCCTTTGTTAGGAGGATAGAGGGTGCAACCTTTGTCATATTATATATTGTTAGCCAGGGAGACATTCACAAAATAAGCGATTGCAACATTTAGAGGATTATTCACTAAAGTGTGAATTTCAAATTATAGGCTGAAATATCCATTTTAAACTTGTGAAATAATTAATTTCCCATAACTGTGTACCGATGTTCTATTATTAGTCATGACATTTTTGTGTTGTCGTGTGCGCAGGGTGATGATGATTCTGTCTATATTTGTGTTCTCGTGCGATGATAATTCTATGTCTGTATTTGTGTCGTCATGTGCGCAGGGCGATGATTCTATGTCTGTATTTGTGTTGTCGTGTGCGCAGGGCGATAATGCCATGTCTATTTGTGTTGTCGTGTGCGCAGGGTGATGATGATGCTGTCTCTATTTGTGAAGTCGTGTGCGCAGGGCGATGATGCTATGTCTGTGTTTGTGTTGAGTGCGCAGGGTAATAATTCTAGTTCTGTATTTGTGTTGTCATGTGCGCAGGGCATGGGCTGAAAAGAGACATGTGTCCATCAGGTTCAACCTTCCTCACCTCTCTTTTTTGCTGTTGATCAAAAAAAAATAAAAAAGGCAAAAAACCCAGTTTGAAGCACTTCCAAATTTGCAACAAACTAGGAAAACAATTCCCTCTTGACCCCAGAATGGCAGTCAGATTAATCCTTGGATCAAGAAGCTATTACCCTACAGTTGAAAAATATCATTGTATATTCTGTTTTTGCAAGTATGCATTGAGTTGCAGTTTAAACATCTGCATGCACTTGGATAGAATTCCATATCCTTATTATTCTTACGGTAAAAAAAAAAAAAACCTTCCCTTTGCCTTAGACAAAAACTTCTTTCTTCCAGTCTAAAAGCATGACCTCGTGTCCTATGTAAAGTCCGGTTTGTGAATAGATTTCCACACAATGGTTTGTATTGTCCTTGAATATATTTGTATAATGTCATCATATCCCCTCTCAGGCGATGTTTCTCTAAACTAAATAGGTTTAAATTTGTTAACCTTTCTTCATAGCTGATATGTTCCATTCCTTTTATAGCCAGTCTCTGCACTCTTTCCAGTGCCATAATAACTTTTGTTAGAACAGGTGCCCAAAATTGCACAGCATATTCAATATGTGGTCTTACCAGTGATTTATAAAGAGGCAAAATGATATTCTCGTCCCGAGAATGAATGCCCTTTTCATGCATGACAATACCTTACTGGCCTTGGCCACTGCTGATTGACATTGCTGCATAGTTTGTTGTCTATAACAATTCCCAAGTCCTTTTCATGTGTTGTTATCTCTAATTCGCTTCCATTAAGGGTATACGTTGCTTGTGTATTCTTTACGCCGAAGTGCATAACTTTGCATTTTTCAACATTAAATTTCATCTGCCATTTGAGTGCCCAGTCCCCCAGTCTATCTAAATCCCTCTGCAGAAAAGTAATATCTTGCTCACATTGTATTAGTTTACAGAGTTTTGTGTCATCTGCAAACACGGAAACATGACTTTTAATGCGGTCTTCAAGATCATTTATAAACATGTTAAATAGAAGGGGTCCCAGAACAGAACCCTGAGGGACACCACTTACCACCAGCCTGAAAAATTTACCGTTAATGATAACTCTCTTGATGCAGGCGAAGATGATTCTATGTCTGTATTTGTGTTGTCGTGTGCGCAGGGTGATGATGATTCTGTCTATATTAATGTTCTCGTGCACAAAGGACGATGACTATTCTATGTTTGTATTTGTGTGAACACAGGGTGATGAAGATTCTATGTTTCTATCTGTGTTGTGCGCACAGGAAGATGATTCTAAGTCTGTATTTGTGTTCTTATGTGTGCAGGGCGATGATTCTATGTCTGTATTTGTTTCGCCAAATCTGCAGGGTGATGATAATTCTATTTTTGAATATGTGATCTTGTGCACACAGGGTGGTGATGATTCTGTCAGTGTTTGTGTTCTGGTGCGCACAGGACGATGATTTTATGTCTATTTAAATTCTGATGTGCAAATGGCCATGATTCTGTCTGTATTTGTGTCATCGTGTGCGCAGGGACATGATTCTAAGTCTGTATTTGTGTTCTGTGCACAGGGAGGTGATTCTAAGTCTGTATTTGTGTTTTTGTGTTCACAGGGCGATAATTCTATGTCTGTATTTGTGTTGTTGCACACAGGAGCATGATTCTATGTCTGTATTTGTGTCGTCATGCGCGCAGGGCGATTATTCTAGGTCTGTATTTGTGTTCTCATGCGCGCAGGGCGATGATTCTATGTCTGTATTTGTGTTCTTGTGCGCACAGGGCGATGATTCTAGGTCTGTATTTGTGTTCTCATGCGCGCAGGGCGATGATTCTATGTCTGTATTTGTGTTCTCATGCGCGCAGGGCAATGATTCTATGTCTGTATTTGTGTTCTTGTGCGCACAGGGCAATGATCCTATGTCTGTATTTGTGTTCTTGTGCGCGCAGGGCAATGATTCTATGTCTGTATTTGTGTTCTTGTGCGCACAGGGCAATGATTCTATGTCTGTATTTGTGTTCTTGTGCGCGCAGGGCAATGATTCTATGTCTGTATTTGTGTTCTTGTGTACGCAGAGTGACGATGATTTAATGACCGTCTGTATTGGCGAAGTGTTTCTGGAGTTTGTCAACATGCTGCCTTCATTCCAGACATACTGTCTGCAGCAATCTGCCTCGATAGCCATGCTCAATGCACTAGAGAAGGAGAAGGAACTACTGAGGTGAGCATGGTAATTGTGTTCGTGGTAATGTGTGTGACAGACCATTGGAAACAATTCCAGCACTATTCCTGTAATGTATAAAATTATTTTTTTCTTATTTATCCTTTATTTTAAGACAAGATCATTAAAATTTCTAAAATGCTGTATTTTCCTCAAAACAAAATTTTAAATATCCATGGCTGCTCATTCACTGCAAGAAGTCACTTGAAATTGTGGGAGAATAGTGTATTATTGTTAAATTTTTATTTCCTATTCTAGGATATTTTTAGATGTGTCTCAGAATGACAACACAGCACTGAGGCGCATGAACCTCCGCTCCTTTCTCATGGCTCCTTTGCAGAGGGTCACCAAGTATCCTCTCCTGCTTAGTCGTATCCTAAAGAGTACAACGGAGTTCCACCCAGATCACGGCAGCCTGTGGGAGGCAAAGAGCCGTATTGAGTCACACCTTGAACACATCAACATGAAGACTAAGCAGGAGGGAAATCCATGGACGTTGCGTTCCTTCCGCAGAGAAAGCAGGAAAAATAAAGAACTTACCAATATTGAGATAAGAGAAATGGCCATCAAGCAGGTAGGTTGGCCCAGAGAAGAGACGCGCTTTATCAAGGAAGGACCTATGCATTTAGCACAGCCCACAGACGGCCAGTGGGTTAAGAAGGGCTGCAAGGCTCTAAAATTTCAGAATGTGCAGGCACTACTGATGGCGAAGATTCGGAGGACATCGGAGTCCGGTCTTGAAGGAAGTGCGGACAACCATATTGTGAGGGATGCTGTCTTAGTACTTATCAAAGACAAAAACAATGGGAAGTTTGTAATGCTAAGGGAGCCTCTGAGGCTTGGACAATGTGTGGTATCCTCTGATCCAGACTGTGAGGAGACATTTGAACTATTGGAGATAAAACGTGAAGGGTTTGTGTTCCGGGATGTTGACAGTGACACAACTCAACACTGGTTTAGGCAAATCAAAATCTACTCCCGAGACCTTGGATCCTGGAAGAAACGGAGAAACGCTCTCCCTAACATTATGATAAGCACAACGCAAGGCAGGCCCTGAACCTAGCAATCACAGGACAAGATGGGTGTAAATCATGACTTCTGCCCTTCTTCCACAATGGCCAAACCCCAGCTGTGCTGATCTCAGCACATTTCACATAAGACCATGTCAGTCAGAGGCAAATCGTGTTACCTTTTCATGAACAATTGACACAGAGTTCAAGAGAGAAACTAAAGCGGAGAGCCTGCAATATGGGCAATGCTTTTCGCACCGTGTGGTTATTAACGCTGTTTGTAGGTCTTTTATCAACTAGTCTGGATGGCGAGAAGAAAAAAAAGACAAAAACAACAAAAAGTAAGAGTACAGGAGCAAAAAAAATTATTAGATATATATATATCTCTCTATCTCTATCTGCTCACTGAATTCGTTATGGAGAGTTTGTGCTGGTTTTTTTTCTGTCTTGGTTGAGAGATTTTAATGAAGAAGGGGCAATGCCAATCAGCAGTTTCTTCAATAAATACCGGTCACCAAATAATTTATTGTTAATCAGATCTGGCATAGTTTTACATTTCAATCACTAACAGAACCTATTCCCAGTCGAATAATATGTCTGAATCTATGAGATGTTCACTCAAACCGTAAGCAGCACGCTCCACAGAGATCTGGCATTAGCTTTTTGCAAATAAAAAGTTAACTAATGTGGGCTGTTCACAAGGAAGCAATGATTTACACACGTATTTCACACATAAAACGAAGTTTGTTGAAAAGAACTGATAAGGGAACTTCAAATCTTAGGTCTAATAGCTGAAGTAGGCAGCTCTGTTAATTTGAAATTCCAGTCATTTCTCCAAAATTCATGGTTTAGGGGAAAAATTTAATATTTTCATCACTTTTTCCAGGATGTTTAAATATTGTTCAGAGTGTTCTGTATTAACTATCGGTGCATAATAGATCCAAATAATCCTATTTCTATTCGTAAGACAGAGAATTACTGTTCTTTTCCACAGACGTCAGGCAAATAAAAAGAGAAGATTTCAAGATTTTAGAAATAATGCTTTCAAATCTGTAGCAGTTTTTACACCAGTAGGAAGACTTCCAGCAGGGTATATTAACAAGGCAAGTCACCGCACTACACCTACAAATATTAAAAACACAGATTGGCAAAGCATTGCTCAGCCTCAGAACCCAAAAACGTTATCTGTATCTAGGCGACCTTCAGCGCGCCAGATGTTGTGGACTACATCCCCCATATTTCTAGCAAAGCAACATGCAGTCCACAACATCTGGCGTGTGTAGTAGTTATGGTGCCAGGAGTGCACTAGTGCCATCCCAGAACCAGGTAAATGGTGTCACAGCTTACAAAGCTACTCCTGGAACTATAAATACAAAAGGGCTGTCTAGGAATTCCATCACAATATTACTGTTATTGATTAAATATATACCTGCTAAGAGTATGTGAGGTCAGCAGCCAATCAGAATTCCCCTCATTTTACTGCGCAGGTACCAAGAAATGATTGTTTGATGTGCCTGATACGAGTGCTGTGTTGCCAATAAAAAATGAGCAAGGCTCTAACGATTCACAGCCCTCAAGACTCTGGAGACCTAGTCCAGCCAAGCCAGTACATCAGAGGTTACCCGTCCCAATGCTACTCTCCTTTAGTTCCTAAATTATAAGTGACAAGTAACAGTGGTTTCACATTCGGGAAATAAATCAAATATCCCCAATTTTAACTCTTACAGTGTTACGTGTGTCACATTTCAGGCATTAGTGGCACTGGTGAAATGGCAATATTACTGAATTCCTCACACATAAGATAGTAATTATAATCTAATTAGAGTTTAATATTAGTTGCCACGTTACTTTCCAGGTCCGGCCTGCTACAGAGCAGTGAGATGTGTAATTCTATTAATTAAAGCTCATCCTTCATTAGCATTCTCAGCAAGATCAACACTTGAAGATTAAAGAGAAACTATAGAAAAAGTCACCTAAGAGCCTGGAAGTCCCTCTGGTGGCTGTCTGGTAGACATCCACTCAAGGAAGAGTTAACCCTGCAAAGGTAATTATTGCACTTTGTTAAAAACTGCAATAATTACATGCTCAGGGTTAATGAACCTGAGACACTGCGGCCAAACCAATTCAATGAGCTGAAGTGATCTGGGTGCCTATAGTGTACCTTTAACGTAGCTGTTTAACAGCATCCAGTGCATTCAATGTTCCCGGTTTGTCTCTTAAAGGACCACTCTAGGCACCCAGACCACTTCAGCTTAATGAAGTGGTCTGGGTGCCTGGTCCAGCTAGGGTTAACTCATTTTTTCATAAACATAGCAGTTTCAGAGAAACTGCTATGTTTATGAATGGGTTAAGCCTTCCCCCTAATCCTCTACCGGCTGTCTCATTGACAGCCACTAGAGGCGCTTGCGTGCTTCTCACTGTGATTTTCACAGTGAGAGCACGCAAGCGTCCATAGGAAAGCATTATGAATGCTTTCCTATGTGACCGGCTGAATGCGGGCGCAGCTCTTGCCGCGCGTGCGCATTCAGCCCAGGAGGAGGATCGGAGGAGGAGAGCTCCCCGCCCAGCGCTGGAAAAAGGTAAGTTTTAACCCCTAACCCCTTTCCAGAGCCGGGCGGGAGGGGGACCCTGAGGGTGGGGGCACCCTTAGGGCACTACAGTGCCAGGGAACCGAGTATGTTTTCCTGGCACTATAGTGGTCCTTTAATTGAGACTTTCAGCCTGAGAAAAACATACTTCTCCAATCCAGAACAGACTGCTCTGGCACATACTCCACCATTTTGCTTTCAGAAGGCATTGCTGTCAGAGGGTACCAATACAACTACACCTTACCATCACCGGGTAGCCATACTCTTACACCTTACCATCACCGAGTAACGACACCCCTCCATGTTACCATCACCGAGTACCGACACCCCTCCATGTTACCATCACTGAGTACCAATACATGTACCCACACTGGTTACCCATACCCCTACATGTTGTTATCACTGGGTACCCAGTATAAATACCCATACTGAAGTTAGTGGTATGAATACTCCGGCAGTTTCATGGCACAGGGCACTAATACTGCTGTGGTTACATGGTGTAAAGCACCCAGATACCTTGCTCTATGGCACAGATTACATGCAGATTTACAGTATTGGTCATGCAGGTACAGGGTAGAAAGCCCAGATACCCTGCAGTTACATGGTACAGGTACTCCTACGAACACATGGCAGAGACACCACTAGTTCTGTGATTACATGGCACAAGAATCCATACTCCTGTGAATACATGGCACAGACACCCCTACAACTGCAGAATTATGTCACAAGCACCCCAACTTCTATGGTTTCATGGCACAGACACCAATACGCCTTCACTTACATGACAGAGCACTATGGTTTCATAGCACATGGTACCCAAACTGTTTATAGTATAGTCACCCTTACTCCTGCACCAGTCTGACAGCATACCATTTCACAGCCAGTGCAACAACGTCACAGACACAAAACGACACATCCAGGGTAATAATGTCACCGAGACAACACTACACCGCTGCTATAACAAGGTCACTGAGACAACACGACACAGCCAGTATAACAATGTCACTGAAAACACGACACAGCCAGTATAACAATGTCACCAAAAAACACTACCCATTCGCTGTAACAATGTCACAGAGACAACACTACACAGCCGCTATAACAGTGTCACCAAGACTATATTATACAGCTGAGGGTGAAAAAGAGAAGTGAAACACTTTTCTGTGGGGAAAAAGTGGCAAATAAATAAATAAATAAATCTGTAGCATCATCGGGGGAAAAAAAAAAAAGTGTTTATTGAAAAATTCTAGGGTGCAAAGATGGAAAAACGCCAGAAAAATCGGGTTCATTCCATTGATTAGGACCATGGATAACACCATGTATAATGTTTGTTGTACAGGAATTGTTATTTAATATAAAATGTTTTATACGCCTTGACTCCAGACTGATTTATTCTACTGATGGTATCACTGCGCCATACAAGGCAGATTATGGTGGATCAGTCAAGGAACACATTTTAATAATGTTTTTCTAAACAGAACATTTTGGTATTACACGGCCATATTACATTACGTGTTCACATTCAAAGTTTATTATTAAATGCCCAGCCAGGTTCAGGTTAGGTTCAGATTTGTAGGACTGTACCTTCCAGTCTTCAAAGATCAGTAAGACTCACAGGACTATTTATGAGAATATATATATATATATATATCTAGCTCTATCTCTATCTATGTCAGGAATTTAACCTGAATATCAAATGCTAGGCCAAAGTATCCAAATGGTTAGTGTAACTGACTGAATTCTTCTAGTTTGGCTAAAATTGGTTTTAAATTTAAAATACACTTTAGTAACCTAGTCCTCACTTTGTATAATTAACTGTAACCAAACGTGTGCTGCTGGAATCCAGGAGTGTGCCTTTAAAGGTAGCTGCAGTAGTTATGGTGCTTGGAGTGTCCCTTTAAATGAGGGAGCATACTGTAATACGTATTTTTGAAATATTCATAAAATAATGACTCCCACTTCTTTGTTCACTATACACAGCATGAAACAACACACCATTAGTTTTTTGGTTTTGCACTATGGATTTTCTAATAGTAGGATTCCACCCCCACAGATATTTGTGTTTAACCCCTTAGTGACCAGACAGCTTTTCAATTTTCTTACCATTAAGGACAGTTTAGCTGTAATTTTCCTCTTACCCATTTACTGTACCCACACATATACCATTTTTCTCGCCATTAAATGGTCTTTCTAAAGATACCATTATTTTCATCATATAATTTACTATTAAAAAATATATAAAATATGAAAAAAAAACAAACACACACCTTTTCTAACTTTGACCCTCAAAATCTGTTATGCATCTACAACCACCAATAAACACCCGTGCTAAATAGTTTCTAAATTTTGTCCTGAGTACAAGTAACACTTTGCTATTTCCAATCCATTTTTTTTTTTCAAAATTAACGTAACATTGTAACACTGATATCTGCCAGGATAACCCATCACATGCATATATTTTTTAAAAGAAGACAACCTAAGGTATTAAACTTGGGGTATTTTGACTCTTTTCATGCAACCGTTTTACCACCAATACATGCCAAATTTAAAAAAATAAATAAAGTACTTGGTGATTTTTTTGTGACACACAGCAATTTAAAAATAAATGTACGGAGAACTTTAAGGGTTACTGCCAAAGAACACCCCAATATGTGTTCAGCAACATCTCCTGAGTACAGTGATACCCCCATGTATAGGTGTGTTGGATTCTCTGGGGGCTAAAAGACCTTATTTGGAGGGTGCACATTCCAGTTTAACAACTTGGAATTTCCACAGCTGGTCATCATGCATCCATGTCCTAATTGGGACATTTTTTAAACCGGCCAATGTGATATACCCCCATCAAACCATATTTACGGTTTTAAACGCTCATATTTCTGTTTAACAATACCCCATGTACAGTTTTTTTTATTAAAGGTACAGGGTCAGTATAGGGCTTGCCCAATTCAGTTTGCCAGGTTGGTTTGCTGGATCTTTGTTGCCTTTTGAGACCATATGGTAGCCCAGAATTGTGAAAAAACCCCATCATGGCATACCATTATCAAATGTAGACAACCCAGGGTATTCCAAATGGGGTATTTCCAGTCTTTTGTAGTAGCCACTTAGTCACAAACACTGGCCAAAGATGGCGTTTTTATTTGTTTTTTTTTTATAAAAGGTTTTTTTTTGTTCTTTTTTTAATAGATAGAGATATATCTATCTATATCTATATCTATATCTATATCGAGATGCTTGCACTCCTGGATTAGAGAGTAATTTCCCAGTGCTGGTCAGGCACAAGATACAAAAAAATGATTGGAAATGACCGCACTCCAAGGACTTGTTGATAGTAAAAATAAAATATAACTTTTATTCTATATCATATAAAAATATTGACGCTGCAGCCCCAATACATGGGTTTTCATCAGGATGGAAATTATATATATATATATATATATATATATACACATATATATATATATACACACATACATACATACACACATACATATACACATACATACACACACACACACGCGCGCGTTTATTTCCTATACATGTTATATATATCTCAAAGAACACGTATAATAAAATCATATATATGCATAACTGAACTGACAGGCAGTCCCCCTGCTGGTGGAAAAAGTAAAAAAAAAAAAAAAATTAGAGTTAATACATTTAAAAAATATATAGGTAACGCCGGTGATTGGGAGGGGGGGAGGGGTTAATTATTGAACTATTTTTTAAAAATTTATATTTACTGAGTGCCTCGACCCCTCAAGGCACTCCGTACAGGCAGAGCATCGGAAGCCTCCCTGATGGCTTCTGATGCTCTGCCTCACTGCTGGGCTCCATGTGGAGCAACCCGGAAGTGATCGCTCCAGGGGGAGCGATCACCCGGTGTTCTCCAGGGGCCACCGGCAGGGATGATAACTTCCAGCGCTCTAATCCTTAAGGCCCTTTTTTTGTCGGAAGTACCAGATACGTCCTTGGTCGGAAATGGGTTAAACACTTTCCTGCACAGATCGCAGGGGATCTGATACTAATCAGACACAACTGTGGATAACCACAGGTTAAAATAAAATTCCACCAGTAATTTATATTGGCAGCAAACAGAGTTAAAACAACCATGATAATGGTCAAACTGTAGAGGAATTCACTTTGTCCAAGGAAAAACCCAAGCTTTTAGATAGTGAGCTTATTTGGGCTGGTCCCTCTTCACCTACCATTCCAGAATGTCAAAACAGGTTTTGTAGGATTGTTTGTGTTAGTTAACTTATTGTACAGCGTCACAGACTATGTTGGCACTATATACATAATTGTAATTAAATCTTTGGGAGAAATATCTCTGATTGAACATTTCACATACACCCAGTATGTATATAGTTCAACAGGTCTCAACAGTGCTTTAACTGAAACAAGTATACCAAATATCTTAGTGTGTTTAAAGGCAAAAAAATACCCACAGGTGGGCATGAGCACTGCCCACAGAAATGCAGTTAGGCTGTACATAGGTGGGCATGAGCACTGCCCACAGACATGCAGTTAGGCTGTACATAGGTGGGCATGAGCACTGTCCACAGACATGCAGTTAGGCTGTACATAGGTGGGCCTGAGCACTGCCAACAGACATGCAGTTAGGCTGTACATAGATGGGCCTGAGCACTGCCCACAGACATGCAGTTAGGCTGTACATACGTGGGCCTGAGCACTGCCCACAGACATGCAGTTAGGCTGTACATAGGTGGGACTGAGCACTGCCCACAAACATGCAGTTAGGCTGTACATAGGTGGGCCTGAACCCTGCCCACAGACATGCAGTTAGGCTGTACATAGGTGGGCCTGAACCCTGCCCACAGACATGCAGTTAGGCTGTACATAGGTGGGCCTGAGCACTGCCCACAGACATGCAGTTAGGCTGTACATAGGTGGGCCTGGGCACTGCCCACAGACATGCAGTTAGGCTGTACATAAGTGGGCCTGAGCACTGCCCACAGACATGCAGTTAGGCTGTACATAGGTGGGCCTGAGCACTGCCCACAGACATGCAGTTAGGCTGTACATAGGTGGGCCTGAGCACTGCCCACAGACATGCAGTTAGGCTGTACATAGGTGGGCCTGGGCACTGCCCACAGACATGCAGTTAGGCTGTACATAAGTGGGCCTGAGCACTGCCCACAGACATGCAGTTAGGCTGTACATAGGTGGGCCTGAGCACTGCCCACAGACATGCAGTTAGGCTGTACATAGGTGGGCCTGAGCACTGCCCACAGACATGCAGTTAGGCTGTACATAGGTGGGCCTGAGCACTGCCCACAGACATGCAGTTAGGCTGTACATAGGTGGGCCTGAACATTACACACCAACAGGCAGTTAAGCAGTTGCACCAAAACAGACGATAACTTGCACATGCATTTACTGATAGAGGAGATGAATCACAACCTGTGTGTACATTTCTTTTCTGTCATTGGAGACCCAGAGCAACCTATGCGTGTGTTCCACAATGAGGAAGCCCAGTCTTTCTGCAACACTCAGACCAGCATACGCAGTGAACAGGCTATTCCTTTGTAGATAAACCAGCCTTGGAAATAGCACTGAATTTTGGTACAAACTTGCTGAAACATAAACTAATATGTACTTACCTTAAATGTGCTTGTGCCTCCTATACGGATAACGAGGCTATAAGGAATTGGTTGCCTAATTGCCTCTCTGTTTGTTGGACAAATTGGTGAAACGCACAAAGGCTAATGTGGATTTCACCTGGGAGACACATATCCAAATTAACTTATTTAGGAAAGAAAGAGACTATTAAGATGAAAGCTACTAGTCTCACCTTAATAAGCCTCTGGTGAGAGCACACTGGTAACTAATCTGAAACACACCCGGTGGCCACATAATTACTGCTGGGTTTAAATATCCTGTGATTAGTCTCCAGATTCAAGAGTTCTCACCAGGTGCCGAGATCGCATTGTGCACGTGCATAGCACTCTGCGATCCGTAAGTGGAATGCAAAAACACCACAGTGTGTTGTCCACATATGAAGCCTCCCAGCTGTACGTACAAACGCATCTTCGCCTCTTCCATCACGGATTGAGCAGAATGATAAAGGAGTGAAATACAGGAGCCCGTCGTGTGTTCATATAATATGATAATTAAAGGACAAGCGCACTGGCCAAGCAAACCTTCAAAAAAACAAGACGGAGCCCTCCAGGAGCCGCAGCCCCCTCACCACGTCTATCCAAAACACAAAAAAAGCTCTGCTACCTGACCTGTCTCTCTCGAGGACTGGCAAATACTGGGGAGTTCAAAGTGGAGTTGCCCTTTATAAGGCTCAGAGGGGAGAAGACTGGGGTGGGGACTGCATTTTATTGTTTTAACCTTTTCAATGCTACCTGTCCTGTGAGAAATGGGCAGCTACAACCCACTTGTCATGACTGCCGCTTGAACGTTTGGAAAAAGCTACTTGCACTGATCCAATCTGTCCAATCAAAAAAGCAGAATTGAGCCATGATTACCAACTTGGATTGGATCACTGCAATAGTCAGGCAAGCCTCAGGCAGAGCTAGGGCCTTCATCCAGTCACGAACTGCAGCCAGCAACAGTCAGCTCATATAGTCCTCTACATTACGAAGACGCTCGTCAGAGTACAGACACAATACAATTGTAGAAAGATTTTTCATTCAAACTCCTCTCCTTATGTCAACGAACAAAGCAGGTTTATAGATTTCATAGGTTAGCAATGTCTATTATTACAACAGTCAGACTGAGCCAGCCCAGCTATAAACTGAGAGGCATTGCTTGACATGACAGGAAAACAGAATAAAGGTTGCACTCCTGCACCAGGTTTGTAACATTTGTGTACAAGTGACATGTAGAGGTAGAGAGGATTTGTTCTACAGCCAAGGAGAAATACACCCTCAGAAAATATATTGCATAAGTCAGCTCCTTCAATTAATTCTTTATTATAGAAAATGTGGGAATAATCTGATGAACAACATGGTTTACAAGTTGTAGGTCTCCCCCATACATCAACGACGTTCTTCAATGGGTTCAGGCTTTCCTGCGGTATTTAAACGATTAGTGTAAAGAACAGTCCGTTCACAGTGAGCTGAAACGATTCCCAAACAGGGACAGCATCACAATTCTAAATGCTTATAGGGTCATCTGTGGCTTGACCACACCTCCTACCACCCTTACTTGGCTAGCTGAGAATAGCGGGGGTTGCAGTGAGACAACAGTTGGAGGGCCATTGCCAGGCGGTCTCTGGTTTAATTATTGAGAAAGATCAGGTTAACCAAAAAGACAATAATAGCACCAGAACTGTCAAGACTGTAGAACTGACATGCTGAATAGCAAATATATACTGGAAAGAAAAAGGAAAAGACAAAACACAGGTTCCAACAAATACTCTTCCTCACTCTGCTTCCTTAATGAGCTCAGTAATCATATAAACTGTAACAATCCAAATAAAATGAAACAATGGTAGAATCTGCAGCATCAAAACACCTTTACCCCAAACTAGCAAGCTGGAATGGACCGCAGCACGACTGCTCTGGCAATCTGAACTCCCGAGTCTAAAAATACAAGCATCTATTACTTGTCCGCACTGCTGGTGCTGGGCTGACTTCTGCTGAGTCCCCTGATGGACAAATCATAAACCACCTCCTCTATCTTCTTCACGTCGTACTTTAGACCATCGTAACGCTTCCTCAAGGAATCATTTTTCAGGTTGAGCAGTCGAAAGCCAAAATCCAGTTCGTTGATGAATGTAGCAATACGGAGGGGTCGGGCGTAATCTCTGGCAGTGACGCTATTCACAGCTAACCTAGACTGGAGAGTGGTCCAAACACAAACAATAGAATAAGTAAAAAGAATAACAAACAATTAATAAATACATACAAAATAAATCAGTTTAAAAAGTTAAATGGCGACCAAGATGGCAAACTATTCTATTTGAAACTTTCATGATTCGGACAATAAAGAAAAACATTAAAATAAATAAACACACACACAGCCAGCCAGGCATTTTCGCACAATACACTAAAGTACAAAAATGTAAAGGATACATGAAGCCCCTGGCCTTTAACCCCTTAAGGACTGAGGCAACTGTCCAACTTCTGAACCAAAACCAAACATAGAATTTGCAAAGTGTTTATTCCACCATAATTTTAATAATGATTCAACATTATATCACAACTAATAACAGGTTTGGACACAATTCATTGGCCAAGAGCATCAGGAGACGGTAAGAACTTGTGCTTTGGCGTAACACTCAGATTGTTAGGGTGGAGAATCGCAAGGACTCATGGCACCGTAACCACTGTGGTGGGTGGGCTGGCTGTATCGGTTACGGCACTTGTGTTTCTTTGGTAATTTCAATAAAAAAACTACTTTACAATATCCTAAACATTAGATTTCATGTACAAAATAACCCTCATACTTACCAGCTCACTGGCGAGGTTGAGCACCCCAGACAAATAATCCTCAATATCTAGATGAAACCCTTTCTCTCGTTCATATTCAACTAGAACAAACAGAAATGCTGTGCTGAGTAGTGACACAAAAGGTTTAGTTTCTAAATACATTACAGATTAAAATCCTTAAGGAAAACTGATACCAGGAGGAGGACCGCGAAAAGCTGTGTGTGGCTTTATAGTCAGTTATCATGAGAGGGAAAGAAACAGGAAGAAGGGTTTTCCATGAAGGTTTTCAGTGAACAAATAGGCCGTAGTTTTATCATGCATACAGATCCTGGCATTCATAATTCATGGCAATAATATCAAACATTTAGATGGAAAAACACAGTGATCTCTGGCAGTCATGGGTGACCAATGTCTCTACATGGAATATCAGGGAGGTTAAAAACTAATCGATGTATACCAATAAAGTATAGAGGCTTCACAGAATCAGCACCATAGACAACATTTATTCAGCTCACCATGGAAAACCGCATACAAGGTTTGCGCCAGCGAGCTGTAGCGGAGTAGTAGGGGTTAATCCACAGTATCTATGCTGGTAGTCAGGATAAGCAGGTAAAAAACAGGTAGCGTAGTAAATCCCTTCCTCCCAAGAACTAGACGACACATAGCTTGGAGGTCAACGGAGGTTTTAATCACTGGTCACAGCATTTATACAATTCCCCGTACACGGGGTTTCCAAAGTGCCCTTGCAAGGATTTTACAACAGTGGACTACATGGAAAACTTAAGTTACAAGACAATTTCCCCGCATGCATTGTTACACTGGAGAGATGAGTGATAAGAATATACTGATAATCACTCGATCTCTCCATACAGCCCAAGTTACAATTTCACATTAAATTCTATAACTTAAAAAGCATTAGGGTAAATTAACCGAATGACCTTTCGTTGAATAGCTGGGATCTGAGCGCACCATCTGGGGAAATACAGCTCAGATCCCTGCACATGCAGACGAACGCCATTCGAATTACCTGATTTCATGGACCACCATTGTACTCGTTAAATACATTTAGAGTATTAATATGCCGAAATAATTATTGTCCCGATTGGTCTGGAAGTCCAGCGGTGTTCGGTAAGTTGAGTAGCCGATTTTCGTTCCAGGCACTTGACGACTAAACACCGCTGTGCTTTCGTGAAGAAAAGATGGCCGCCGCCACACACGAAACCCATTAATCAACTGGTGATACATTGTTGCAGTAGTTAATGGGAGACACACGACCCCCGTTGTGTGGTCTCCCATTTGGTAGTTTGTTCGTTTCACGAACAGTGTTTGAAAATCACTGTTCGTGGAACTCCAAACGGAACGCGGCGGCGTTCGTATGCTGCAAGCACACGAATACTCTATACCCATACATATACTAAAAAGGGGAAAGCAACGAAAAATGCAACATTATACATACATACAGTTAAGTGGCTAGTTTTGCCACACAAGCTATATACTTTATTGGTATAAGTGCCTAATATAGCCTCCGCACATCACAACATGTAACACTCAGAGATACTTGGCTCCGGACTCCCACCAGTAATGGGAATGTGAACAGAAATTCAGGTTTTAGTTACTTGTGTAGACATGCCATCTAACTTCTAATTGTATTATGACAGCAGTAAACAAATGATTAAATGGCAAACAGTTACATGCCTATTTGTAGACACGTTTAAATACACAAAGCCAAAAAGATTATCTTTTAAAATCACAATATAAAACCACTAATTTAAAAGAAATCACAGGAAAAACAAAAACCAACAAAATAAAAAAAAAGTCTGCCATTGTAAACCTACTTCCCAGTATTTCAGCCACAGCTTCCCTGGTTACCAGTTCTTCAGTTTCCAGATAAACCAAGAAGGATGCCAGGAAGACGAGGCGTTGCAATACGAACCGCCACTGGTCATGGAACCTGCAGAGAGGAAGTCTCCGATAATCAACTCATCACAGAATGAGAACACTGGACAATTCTCCAAATGCTCAGACATTTCCAGAAAATGTAAAGAATTCCCCCAGAATTCGTCTCACTTCCGATAAGCAAAGTGATCACAAAAACAGCACCTTCTTTTTATCCCCCCAAACACTGCAAAACCACAATGTAATACATCGGCCTCCAGAAAAACAAGCAAACTAGAAGAAATGATGCTGCAATTCTTCCAGTAAATCCATGAGCAGTATTTCCTAGCTAGAGAAGGACATACTGCACTGATCGGCCCTATTTATGGAGGCGAAAAAGAGAGTTGGCACAAGAATGGCTCACAGTTATTTTATTCATTTTTCAGCGTATGAAGAGGTCACGAGAGCAGATATTACTCACTCGTGTGCTTCATATTAAACTAATGAGAAATCACTACGTGTTCAGAACATAATTTTCTGAGAAATGCAGAGCAATTAGGAGTGTATAAAGTAAAAAACTAACTTGGTTCATGGAGCAGACATGGTCTGTGTGAGATCATGACACTACCTAGTCTTAATAGATCCAAACAGCTCCCAGTGGGTCCCCACAATATTGGCTCAGCCAGTTCACAATCTGTACCTGAATGACCTCATCAATACTTTCTGGGTGATTCTACCTATCTTTTCCATGAGTTATTCCACCTGTTAAGTACATTTCAAATAACACGTATCCTCGATTCCTGTTCCTTATGCTTAAGTAGATAATTTATTATCACAATACACGATGTATGAAGCAGTTAAAATTCATACAAAATAAGTGCTTGCTTTACAATGTGCAACTCCACAACAAAGCGAAGCCAACCTCTGCCACTTTGTAATGCAATTGCACATTGTAAATTAAACACCTATTTGGATCAATTTTAAGAGCTCAATCCACTTTGTATTGCTGTAATTTAAGTTGTTTTGTGCATGAGACTTAAGAAAAAGTACATTGGGTGTGATTATAGCAACTAATTTACAATAAATATTAGATTCTAGTAAACAATTAGAAGCAGACACTGAAGCTCCTCATTAAACTATTGTATTTATTATTTTGGGTATCTTTGGGTGGTTTGGTGCGGCTGCAGTTATAAAATGAAGAGTAGTTATAAGGCCAGGTAAAAAGATTAACCCGAATGCCAGCGACTG